AATTTCTCATAAAGTGTAAACATTATAAATTTTTTTCTTAAGTTGTTTCCTTGGGGGTGGTCTAAACTAGAGTATGCATCAATGAAGACGTCAATCTTCCCTAAAGGGTGAAGAGTGTCGTAAATGTGAATGTGGGTATTAAAAGTTATATGTTCGAGTCCTTTCAAATATTCTTTCCTACCTCTTACTATGATGGTAGGAGGTTAATATTGCTAGACCCTTTATCAATCCCTCTTGTGCTAGTGAAGTTAACTGGGCATTTTGAGTGTAGTTAGACCAAATGAATATAAGGGCGGAATTTCTATGTATTATTAGCTAAGTATACGTAACTTAGTAAAGAGTTTCTGTCTAGTTGTGTTTTGCACTGGCTAGTGATAAGAACCCCCACTTATTAAGATTAATCCCTCAATATCACCAGATGATAATTTACTATGTTTGCTAAACACACTTGTTATCATGTTTCATATGTTGGTTTTATTTGGTCTCATTAGCTATTTATAGAAATTGTTTAGATCTACAAGATAGGTATATCTACGGAATATAGAGATCATCACTAGGTAGCTTCATCATATATCATACATTTTGTGATTTCCTAGTAGAGAAGAGCACCAAGATCAAGCGTAACACTATAGTGATAATAGTAATAATTTTTCCCCTTCAATGATTTTCTACTACTAGCCAGCCTATCCTAGCTCAAGTTAGCTTCATGTAGCCCAACTCAGTCCAAACCATGGCTGCCAAGTTATAGCTATGGTCAGCCATAAGTAGCACCATGGCTATGGCTGCCTAGCAAATAGCACATTACTGTCGGCACCACCAAATGGCATTGCCATGGCTATGGCCACCCAATGCCACTCCATAGGAATGGCTACCAATAGCTAGAGCAAGTTTACTTCTTTATGAGTTTTCCTTGTAAATCCTTTTATCTTTAAACCTTTAGAATTTTAAAGAACATATGGGAGCCACTAGGATACATGAGCATCAATATAGGAGTGGAGTAATAATTATGAAATATAATTCAATGTTTGCTTTATTACATTTTTGGGTAGCAATGATGAAATCATTGCTAATGGGATTGCCATACTTAGATAATAGATAGTGGTAGCAATGAAATTCTTAGGTTTTATTATTACAATCATGTAGTGTTTGTAGTTGTAACACACATGGTTTTCACCCTTTATCCTATAGTGATTTACAATATGGAGTAGAACCCAAAACCCTATCTAAGAATAGTGGAGTGAGATTTGAGTTTCAAGGCCTTAAACCACTAAATGAAGGGATAGAGACAAACTACTAAGCATAGAGCCAAGGAGCAAAAGAAGCGAGGCACAAAAGGATTTTTGAGCATTTAGCCCGAGCAGATGTAAATGATTAATTTTTCCATTCTACTTTAATCATTTAACCATTTGAAAAAGTCTTACATATAACCTTTATAAGTTTTATTTCTGACTTGGGGACTTGCTAGCCCCGTGAATGACCTCTATACCACTTTACTTTTACACTTAATCCAAGTGCTTCATGTGTCCGATCCCATAACAAACACCTAAAGATACCACTAACATATTAGTCTATTACACTAAGGCCATGTCTATTCACCTTTTTTTTATTGGTAGTCCAAAACCACCCATATTACAATCTCATCTTCTAAAGACTAAGCTATCTATCCATGAGTGGTCATCCTATGACCACACCTTAGCATCCTTAAAATGCTTAAAGACATGAGGAACATCTTTCCCTAATATCTCTTCTTTGGTCCCCACCAAGTTCCTCTCCATCCACAATTGTGTTCACCAGCACTGTCAATTGGAAAAGGGGCAATTGTGTACTGAGAGAGTGGTCATTGTATCCCTATTTATCCCCTAAGCTATTAATATCCTCATTGATTATTGACTAACAACCTCTATTAAACTAAGGGGAACTAACATTTTTATTTCTACGTTGAATCTAACAATCCCTCTATTGTATAGATTAGCTATTCTATATAAGGCAACTAGTCATCCACCTGTACCACAATCCCGTAGTGGATACCTTCATCCATACTCTATAAGAGGAAGGACACATACATGGATGCCCAATATGTACAATTTCAAATTTAGAGGTAGAAATATACCTTACTCAAGGGTATATTATATTTTAAGTAGCCACTAATCAATGAAAATTAAATTTATGCCATTTGCTCCAATACCACATGTAATGCACTTTATCTCTCTCCCCTTAAACCAATTGAAAAAGGGGCAATTACTTAATGAAAGACCCCTTAATGGCTATTTTAACCCCATTTATCCCCTAAAGATCCACAATGATAGTATATCCAAATCTCATCCCATGATTACATGCACTACATGAGGGCCTAACTACTAAGTCCCATTGACATCTAAGATCTCCTCACCATGTGACCATATCCTTGATCATTACCTAAGAGGACTTCTCCTCCTCTTTTTCACATTCTAGGACTTTGGAATAACATTTCAAAACATTATGGCCCTATACAAGCCTTATGGGTACTCCTCTTAGTTTTTGCCTCTGGGTGGCATAGCTATATAACTAGAGCAAAGTTTCGATAAGCCACGCTAAGTATCCAAGTAAGTGGTGCCACCTACACTTGGATTGAGAGCATTGACCATCTGATATCCTAGAGGAGCTAGAGTTGGCTCTTGAACAATTTACTAAGTTACCTTGCTTGTCCATTCATGTTCATTTTAGTCTTGGACTCCTTAATTGTTATATCATCACCTACCATATAGATATAACCTTCCTAGGTCACATTAGCTTTTCTTGGCCAAACTGGTTTCACTGAAGTCTAATCCCCACACTCTCCCTAGTATACTTTTGGAACCCCTTGTAGCCCCTCCCCCCTTGAGGAATGATCACTTTGGGCTTTGACCCTACGACCTGTATTAGTATTTGGACTTGGTCTTGAACTCCATCTCAAACTCCATTTTGGTGGCTTCTCTCTTTATAAATATAGCATACATGGTTTTCACCTTTTATCCTACATATTTTACCATACGATAACCAAGAAACCTAACCCTCCACATGGCACATGCCACATGTCTAAGGACTGCAAAGTGAAACCCAAGTTTCAAGGCCTTAAGCCACTGAACAAAAGAATAGAGTAAAACTCCCAAACATACAACTAAGGAGCAAAGGAACTAGAGCATGGGACTCCCGAGTGTACAGCCCAAGGAGCGAAGGGGTAAAAGCACAAAACAATATAGAAATAGTCTTAGAGCATTTAGCATCCCAATGCAAGGATTAGTACAGAAAATAAAGCCAAATGGAATTTAGCACTGTTTTAGTATATCAGTGGCATAATGCAAGAATTTGGGTATTCCACCAGCCAATATGTATGGAGATTAGGCTTAGACCTAAGTCAGACACAGAACAAATACAAACATACAAGCAAGAATTAGATTATACTTCAAATTAGTTAAACATGCTCAACCTACCCACTATCCCTACTATACATATGAAACCCCCCATAGCACCCCCCTGAGGAATGTATGCTTTAAGCTTTCACTTTAGTCACATTTGCACTTGAGAACAATGCCATTGTGTTCAAGATAATCTCTACATTCCATAGATATGCCTAAGACACTTTCTATAAATAGTCATTAGAATTAAATGGGACTAACACATAGGGTATAATAGTGAAAATGTCTTGGTGAATATGGTAAACTATTATCTAATAAATATTGACAAACCAAGCTCAATATCATAGGGGTTCTCAACACTAACAAGTATAAGTCAATAAATGAGTTTCTTTAACCAGGTCAAATATATTTGACTAATAACACTTAGGAATTCCCTCCATATGCTCATTTAACTAAATGCACATGTGAAGACTAGTTTCTCAATTAACTTGGGTGGAAACTGATAAAAGGGTTCAGCAATACTAACCTCTTCCCATTATGGTAGTAAAGAAAGAATATCTTAAAGGACTTCCCAATAGATAACATTTGATACCTGTAATCACATTTGCAATAGTAATGTTTGATTGTAACTTCATAAAATTATTTTATATATATATATATATATATATATATATATATATATATATATATATATATATATATAAACCATGAATTAAATTAGTAATAAATTGTAAAGTAAAACTTTTGTCTAAAATATATATCTTTTATAATAAAAATTTTAATAAAACTATAATAAAAGTATAATAGTTACCTTCTAGTGTAGTGCCTATTGTTGCTATGGGATTCTTTCATTAAAGAGCTTGAGCCCTCTATTGTAATATGTGTGGCATTCATTACTATTTCATGTTCTGGCCAAACTTTATATTGATGCCTAAGTTTATTGTAGTCTCTAAGTGTGTACTTAGCATGTCAAAAGCCTTAATTGAGCACTCTAGTGCACAATAGCATTGCTGAATTGACAATGGACAATAGCCAATGTGTAGAGAGGCTCATGACTAGCACTCTTTTGGTAGGGAATGTCTACAATACCTAGTTTAGCTACACTTCCAATCTAGTTAAATCTTGCCACACATTTTTGCCATTCTTACCAAACTTAAAAGAAGAAGGTTTTGATATATCAAATAAACTGAGAATTCATATATACATTCTAATATATATGCATTTAGAAAAATGGCATCCAAAACATTATTTTGTGAGTCACATATATATGTTTAAACAATTCAAGCACACTTCTGTTTTAATTTCATATATTTCACAGTTTAATACACTTTTTTACCAGCCCACCCACCCCAGTACACTTTCCCCAAAACAGTGATCACTAATTGTTTGCCATAGATATGTTTTAAAAATACCAATTGTTGACATCCTTGAAAAATAACTATTGTTGACATCCTTGTCAGATATTTATTTTGAAAGGATCTTCACAAAAATATCTAGATATTTTGAAATACTTGTGCAAGATACAAATATACATAAACTCTGAGAGACACGTGGGATGACAACTCGTACTATAAATTAACCACATCGGAAGGCCATTTGTATCAAGTTTTGCTTCTGTTGTCTCTGTTTGCTTCAGCATAGTGATGGCATTTGTTCGAGTTTCTTGCATCCTTCTGCTGCCATTGATGCTGCTTGCAATTGCCAATGCTGCTGAAGAAGGTAATGCTCAAAAGTTTTGTTTGCTTAAAATTTCAACTAATTCACAAGTTCCACAGCAATGGTGGTTTCGGAAGGGATGGATGCTATGCATGATCCGCGATATTTGGCTACTATCCTGGAAAAGAAAGGTGCTGCAACTTCCAGGAGTTTTGTTTCATTGTTTTCTGTTTTTCTTTTGTGCAGGACTAACAAGCGTTGTGGGTGAAACTTACTGTTGCCTCAAGAATGGCTATGGGTGCATGCAAGAGTGTGAAAAAGGCAAAGCGTACCAGTGCTGCCTCAAGAATGGCTATGGGTGCATGCAAATGTGTGAGCCATCCAAGAAGTACTCATGCTGCCTCAAGAATGGATATGGCTGCATGTGGATGTGCGAGAATGGTGTGGAGCACTACTGCTGCGAGAAGAATGGCTATGGCTGCACCAAGATGTGCCCCAAAAAAGTCACTTCTGGCAGCCTCTAGAACGGTTATAAATGTGTGGATGGGTATGCATGCCGCTATAGATCTATGGCGGCCAACTTTAAATAAAAACTGAGTGCTTCCTTCTTTGAAGTTCTTGCACATCCTCGTCCCCCACATTCTTCTACTGTACAATCCTCCACTGATTGCAGACAAACCCATTGTTCCAGATGTGAATTCGAGAGTGATTTCAAGAGTGGTTCTAGAATCATGAGTTCCTTCAATGACTTCTAGCGAAAGACGATGATAACAAGCTTGTATAAAGCAAAAAGTCTCTCTCATTTTTTCCATAGCTCCTTTTAGAATCCAGGAAAAGGACCTGACCCATTGGCGGCAGAAGTAACAGGGACAAGCTCTGGAGCTAACATGCGTCCTAAAAGTCACAATTGTCCCTGCAAGAACGACGCACTAGACAATCTGATGCTCAAATTTCACGATTCTGCTGTGTCGTCTAGCTCATATCTTGCTAAGGCATATATCGAGTGGCAACATTTGGCGGCAGTCCAAAAACACGTGAAAGTATATTGAAAATTTTGTTTGTGGGCCCGATGTCATATTCGAATTAGGTCAAGGTACTTACGGTAGTAAAATCTTAGTTCACGCCTGCCCTAAAATGCGAAAATTTGGGTTTAGGGTTCTTCGCTCGGGCGATGGTGGCCAGGCGGAAGAAGCTCAAGGAACAGGTTGCGGCGGGCGATGGATCCGGCAAGGAGAAGCTCGGGCAGGAGGGGAGATTGAAGGTGAAGAAGAAGAAGGAGAAGCGGAAGCAGCAAGAGGCCGAGAAACTGGAGGAGGCGGCGGCGGCGCGGGAGCTGGAGGACCGGAGGGCGGCGAAGAGGTTCAAGAGGGAGGAGAGGAGGAGGAGGAAAGAGGCGGAGGCGGTTGAAAGGGAGGAGAAAGGAGAGGCATTGGCGGAGGAGGAGGAGGGGACGAAGATGTCGAAGGAGAAGAGGAAGAGGAAAGAGGAGGAAAATGCGATTGATGCAGTGGAAGAGGAGGATGGAACAAGACCAGTCGGGAGGAAATCGAAGAACGCAAAGAAGAAGAAGGTGGATCGATGGGGCGCGCCTGTGGCTCCTGACGCTCCACCACAGCCAGAAATTGAAGAGAACGAGAACGATGACCATCAAAGGTACGTCTTCGTCGATTTCTTTAATCTTAAGTTGTTCTTGCTGGCAGGGAAGAGACTGGAGAAGAAGAATATCATCCCAAAAAGATTTACGCTGGAGGCATGCCATACACTACAAGCGAGGACGACATCCATAGCTACTTTTCTGAGTGTGGAGCCATCGAAGAGATCGACTACACAACCTTCCCAGACACTGGGAGGTTCCGGGGCCTCGCTTTCATTACTTTCAAGGTAGACTCTCTTTTTCTCTTTCGATCGAAACTTTCAAGCATGGAGTGCTTGTCACAGACGCAAGCCGCAGTAAAGAAAGCACTCGAGCTCGATGGAGCGGACATGTAAGTTCCATGGATGGTTTTTCTCTTCTCACCGCTACTTTTCGCTGGAAAACAGGGGTGGCCGATTCTTGCGAATTATGAGATGCAAAATCAAGCCACAAGACGAGGCCAAGCAGCAAAAAACCTCCTACGCGGAGCCACCACCCAAGACGGAGGGCTGCACTTCAGTCTACGTTGGAAACCTCTCGTGGGACGCAACCGAGAAAGACTTGCGGCAGTTCTTCAAGAGGTGCAAGATCACGAGCGTCCGCCTCGCGCTCGACAAGGAAACCCGAGAGTTCAAAGGCTTCGGCCACGTCGACTTCGAAGACGACGAGTCCGTGGAGAGGGCCATCAAGCTCGACCAGAAGCTGTTCCTCAACCGGCCCATCAAGATCGCCTACGCTGTCCCGCCCAAGAAACCGACCAGCAGCACCAACAGCGATCGCGAGCCGCGGAAGGACAAGAGCAAGAAAAATGGATGTTTCAGCTGCGGAGAGGAAGGCCACAGATCCTTCCAGTGTCCCAAGAAAGCCCAAGACTACTAGCAGGAACTTTGAATCAGCTCTTTATGTTGGACGCCTCAAAATGGGGATGACGGTACCTGGATCAACGTTTCACTTGGTTGCAGTGACTTCGTTGTCAACAACTTCTTCCAGAGCACTGTCAGTGGCAGTGGCTGTGTCTTCTTCGGATTGAGCTGCGGTTTCATCAACTTCCAGGTTCTCGTTCTGCGTGGCATCTTCTCCAGCGGTGTCGAATTCTGGTGGTTCGGCCGCGGCTTCTGCCGCTGCTGCCGCTTCTGCCACCGCCTCTGCCATCGCTGCCGCTGCCTCGGCTGCTGCAGCTCGACTCACGGCAGAGGCCATCGCCGGAGACGCGCGCATTGCCTCCCAGCACTCCCTTTCCATCTCCACGAGCTGCCGGCACACGTCCAGGGCCGTCGTTACATTCCTCTTAAAGTTGAAGCGGTATCCCATCCAGTCTGTGCTCGCGGGCTTGATGACTTTCGCCAGGATGTCGAAGCCATTTGTGTCGATGTTGTAGAGTATAGCGTCCTGGAAAGGAAGTTTTGGTTATCTGACTAAGAAAACGGATCTTCTTACGTCCACTTTGACGTGCCGATAAACCATGCAGAAGACCTTGAGGGTGAACCTTCTCGATTCGGTCTGGTTTATGCCCTCCACGAGACCAGAGAACAAGGTGGCTGCAACGAAAGGTTCCTGTCAAAACGAACTATCCATCTACAGAGTTTTCTTACAGAGGGCATGAGTGTTTGGAGCAAGTCCCAGCTCTACTTCGTGTTTGGCCCCAAGCAAGTCCACGTAAACGATTGATCTAGCAGGAAAGAAAACGGTAAGAATGGACGAAACCAAGTAGAAAGGACTATACTTTGGGCGAAATAGATAGATTGATAGCTCACTAGCGGGGTCTAGAAGCTTTGTTCTAGCTTCGAATTGCGAGGCGAGCAATTTCTCTGACGCTTCAAAGAGAGGACCGAGTGCTTGACCACCGAGCTCCACAACCTCTTTAGCAGCTGTGTTTATAGACGAGAGAGCTTCCTTTACTCTGCTCACCTACAAAAACGTTAAGTCAAGATAATGAAGTCTCAAGAACAAACGATTTTACCTCACTGTCTTCGGCAAATCCCATTACACCAGTCAAGATGATATGAGGAGGAACCTACAGAAAAAAAAAAAAGCCAAAAAACTTCCAGCGATTCTCAAGTGATTCGCTTACCTTACCCAGAAGCCTTATAGTTTCCATAAGAGAAGGAGGATCGGTATGACCGACGAAGAGCGTCGCGTTGCTATCAACTACAAGATCCTACACAAGGAAAAATAAAATAAAATTGGATAGAAACCAAATGACCGCTTACCAGTTTGTGAGCCTTGTCTTCCTTCGTCAAGCAAACATAAGGCTTTGTGAAGAATCCAAACTGGACAATCGAGGCGTGGAGCTTCTCGTCCCTGGATCACATTTTGTTTCTCTAAGTTGAAAGGGGAAAACCAAGAGAAAGAACAAGGAGAGTACCTCTTGGCTGCTCGAGCTCTCGTGACGAGCTGACAACGCCATTGCGATGACAAGATGTTCTAAGAGAAAAAGAAAATGCAGCATTGGAAATCGATTCGCATTGCTTACTGCTACGCACTTTAGCTCTCCCAACGAATGTGATGAGATCTGGATTGCCCAAGCTCTGGTGGTACTCGAAAAACTCTTTCATCATCTTCGCTTTGTATTCCAGGCTCTTGCTGCCATAGCTCCGCCGCTGGCTCACTGCAGCGCCACAAATCGCTCAAGAACACTCTCCCAGAGCCTCGGATCTCAAAATGCGCACCTGTCGCGGCTGAATCTTTCCATCGCTTCCATAGCTCCTCGCTCCTCCTACGCAACATAGAAGAACCCTGAAACCCTAGGTAGTAGCCTCCAAAAAACTATACATTGGAAAAGAAAAATGCCTCTAAGCCAAGTCTTGGAGGCATTCCATGAAATAATTCTTGTCAATCTTTCTCTTGCCAGCGTAAACGTCCTCCGCGTCATCGTCCTGGTTTCCTTGCGCGGCCATCTCCACGAGCATGAGAAGTTTCTTGATAGGAATCTACAAAAAAAAGAGAAGAAAGGTGTCACTCCAAACTTTTCTTTTAGTTCTCCGATCTAAACCATACCTCTTCGTCCAGTGCTTCGACCACGTCGTCCAGGTCTCGCTTGGCAAAAACACCCAGTCCTTCCAACACCTGGAGTAGAAAAGAATGAAGAAAAAAGCGAGTAATGGATTGATATCATCGTACCTTTTTCATGTCGGGTGGTCTCAAATTCGGTACTCCGAGCTTGACATTGAACGCCGAGACCAAGTCCATGGAATCAAGCACGTAGGACATGCTAGTCGTTCCTAGAACCATCAGCTTTCTTCCCTGTAAAACCAAGAGCAGTGACTTCTATTTACGAATTCTCGAAGCTTACTTTCGGTGGCAGACGCTTCAAGAGCACGAGAATAGTCTGAAGGACTACATTTGAAAAACGTGCACCTATGTTCACATACTCCAGTAGCCTGCATTTCCAGCATGAATCAGTTATAAGAATTGGAGTTGATAGAAGCCTACCGCTCGATGTCGTCAAGTATGATGATGCTGAACGGCGATTTGTAGGCATCCTCGAAGACCTGCAAAACACAGCTTTGTCGAGAAGATGAAATTCGATATCTATACCTTGGCGATTAAGCTGCATTTGCTCGTTTCAGAGTATCCAATCATGTTTTCAGCTGATATCTGGGCCAGAAACAGTTCAGGTTCTGCTAAAAACGTATACACATAACTTACAATCTTAATGAAAGGAAATTCGCTTTCAATAGCAATCGTTGCAGCTAGAGCAGTCTTCCCGCTGATGATCGAGCAATTAGTACATTCAAACGCAAGGAACAAAAACTACCTTCCAGGAGGGCCCTCCAGAAGACAAGTGAGAAGCGCCGTTCTATCGCTTTTCCTGACTTGCTCGACCAGTGTCATGGCGGTTTCTTGTACATGTTTGTGTTTCTCCCCGCAATCCAACATACCATTAACTCTGCACGAGAACAGCTCAAAAAGCTAGTTACGTTGCGTATCATATGCATACCTGTACATCTCGAGCGTATTAACAGCAGCACCAAAAGCAGGCTGGACCTCTTGCAGGGCATTATTGAAGTCAACCATTGTAACCTTGATGTTGTCTTCGTCGATCGGTTGAGTAAGATCCGCCACATTTACTTGCCTGTTTAAAGCAAAAGATACCGCGCTTTTCACAAGCCCTTCTAACTCTGCTCCACTGAAATTTTTGGTCCGCGCAGCTGTATGAGATCTTTGGTGAAAAACAGAGCAGCAGAATGAGATTATACATACCAAGGTCCTCCAGTCTTATGTCAGCGCTTAAAAAGGAATTATCTCTCATTCTGCTCGTGTGAATTTGAAGAATTTGAACACGTCCCTTTTCATCTGGAAGCCCAATTTCGATTTGAACTTCTAGTCGACCTGGTCTACAGCCACAAGTGCCATAAGTCTAACATACGGAATGCATTCAACAAAAACTCTCACCTCAAAAGTGCCTCGTCAAGCATATCCTTCCTGTTTGTCATGCCAATCAGTAGTATGTTGTTCAACGCTTCCACACCGTCAATCTACAGATCGCAATTCAAACAAACACTTCACACGCAATAAAAGTAAAGGCCAACCTTGGTGAGAAGCTGGTTGACAATGCTGTCATGCACTCCAGTTCCATCTCTAGTGGAGCCTCTTGTCTGTATGAGAAGAAATTTTATCATTTACAAAATCGTAAAAGTATACCTTGCAGATGGCATCAATCTCGTCAAAAATGATAATGTGCAATTCACTCTGATCACCTGTGGATATGAAGACACTCAAAAAAAGTCTTTAATAACTGAAAGTATTGTAAACCTCTCAATCTCTGATCATTTTCTGCTTCAGCGAATAGGTCCCTAACATTCTTTTCCGTTTCACCGACGAACTTACTCAGAACTTCTGGACCATTTACCACCTGCATAACAAGCTTGTCAGTGTATTCAAGTAACATGGAGTCAAATAACAAACCTTTGGTTCACGACCATTGAGCATTTTTCCGATTTGCCGAGCAATAAGTGTCTTTCCCGTTCCTGGAGGTCCATGCAACAGCATTCCTTTGACGTGGCTTATTCCTAATCTGATAGAATTCTAATCAGCAGTTGCAAAATTTCAGGCAGCATTTCACCTGCTGATCACATCCGGAGGATAGACTCTTGATGCAAATGCCCTCCGAAATATGTCAGCAAACTCAGCATCGAGGCCTCCGATTCCTAGCTTCTGAAAGTTTAAATCTTTCTGCTTGAAGATCTGAGTACCAGCTCCCCTCTGATTCGTTATCTGTCGAACGCATGAATTGGTAAGTAGCTGAAAATGTAGTCTCTGGCTCACCTTGATGCTAGAACCAGGAGCTGCTTCGAATATAAATGTCGTCTCAATTGAAATCAAACCACGATTTGGATTATCATGGCCTTCTAGCGCTAAATCATTAATAGTGAGGACATAATTTATGCCGCAGTATTCGATGAAAGCCTTCTGACCAATAGTCACCACCTGAATACTTCGGAGTGAGAACCAACGAGCAGCAAACAACAAAGGTCGCAAACCTGCTCGGATAATCTTCTAACGATCTCCTTGGAGAAAACTTTCGCATCAATCTGCAAGAATATAAATAAGAATCATGCATGGGCGAGATAAGAAACGCACACCTGTTCCTCTTTCCGATTTTTTCCTTTAAAGATTTCGAGTTCCACTGTCACAGCCGTAAGCTTGAACTTGTCTGGAATATCAAACCTTTCCACTGGAATCTCATCTCCTTTCGATACTTTCAAATGTTGCCGCTGGATTGTATTGAGCGCCAGAGAATTATTGGGCACCGCATCGTGACCCCTGCCGGAAGAGAGCTACTAATAAGCACAAGAAAAAAAACCTTAAAATCCACTCACTTGATCGTCAGCACGACGGCATTGCCTACAAGCGCGAATCCTCTGTCCCATCCCTTGGCATGAAACTTGGACGCATCACTCACCGAGCAATACGCGTAATTCGTCGACGCCAGATCGTTGGAGGGAGTCGCACAGACCGTCATCAGGAGCGAAACCGGCCGCGCCGGCACTGGATCTGCTGCCGGAGCCGAAATCTTGCCATATCCAGCCGCCGATGGAGCCCCGGAGCCCCTGATCCACGACATTCCAGATCCGCGATGCGAAGAACCCTAGACCCTCTGGAAACGCGGTATAAGAAGAATCCAACGGCTGGGATTCAATAGGCACCAGAATATCCCAAAAGCATCTTTTATTTATTAAATCTCACTCCCGACGAAAGCATTTTTAGGTTTCTTCAAAAATTCTAGCGCTAGATCCGATCGATCCGCTCCCATGGATTCAGGGCAGGGAGGGAAGCTCAATAGATTCCTGCGCAGCTGTGGATTTGGCGGCGCCGCGAGGCAGCACCATTCGTCCCAGCCAGCGGCGGCTTCAGCGACAGCGGCAGCGAGCCCTTCGGCAAGAAATCCATTGGACGATTGCTTGGAATGCCCGGTTTGCTGGGAGAATTTCAATGGCGGCGACCACACGCCTTACGTTCTCTTCTGTGGCCACACCCTGTGCAAGACGTGCTTGATGGGCCTCCAGTGGGGGACAATCAAGCCACTCCAGCTCCAGCTCCCTCTCCTCGTCCCGTGCCCCTGGTGCCAGTTCCTCACGCTCCGCCTCTCCTGGAAGGGAGGCCGCCTCAAATTCCCGGCGAAGAACTTCTTCCTCCTCTCCATCGTCGAGGCCGCGAGGGGCAGCTCCTCGGCCGCTACCACCGAGTGCTCCAAGCCGGAGGATCACGTCCCGGCGAGCCGGAGGCTGGACAAGGGCGCCTGGAGGATGAGCGACGTGTGGCAGATCGGGCTTAACTTGCAGCAGCGCCGGGTCTGGCACGAGATCGTCCACGACGAGTGGAATGCCGACCAGGTGTTGAAGCTCATCCGGCTGATCGCCCAGGTGATCTCCAAGCTGCCACCGATGATCTTGCTGCTCTTCCTGGTGTTTTACGTCCTGCCCTTCAGCGCTCTCGTGCTGGTGCTCTACAGCTTGGTGACGCTGGTCTTCGCGGTGCCTTGCTACCTGGTGCTCTACTTCTCGTATCCGGGCATGCAGTGGCTGGCCCGAGAGATTGTTGCTGCTTGACTCGTAGGAGGATTTTTTAGTCGAGAGGTACGTATGGCTGTAAAAAAATTCTTACTGCTTTGAATGATGTCTGGAAAACGATTCCTTCGTACCGATTGTTTAATCCAGATAAGCGATTCCCGAGAACACTGGCTTCGCAGGCCCGGTCATATAGACGTGGTTGTTTGCTTCTTTCCACTCTATCTCCAGTGGACCACCCGGAAGATCGACAACGCATCTCTAGGATACCTTGCGTGAGTGCCATGAAATGTGAGGTAGACAGTACGTACCCTTTGTGCTCGTCCTTCCAAGACTGCCGCTACTACGACAGCGCAAGCTCCAGTTCCACAGGCCAAGGTCGGACCTACAACATAGAGTATAATATCAGATTCAAAGCTATGGTACCATGTTCACGAATTTTACCTGCGCCTCTCTCCCACACTCTCATCCTGAGGTGAGTATCGGACAACACTTGGATAAACTCTGGATGTTTAAGGCCAATGATGTTACTTGCAATCGAATCGCTTCGTCAACTTCAGGAAAGAAACGCTCACCAGTATTTGTTCTTGCAGGAAAAACCTCATGGTGCTCGAAAAGAGGTCCAATCTTCTCCAAGGGCAGCTTATTCACCTCGAGATCCTGGATAGAGATGGGAATAAGGAAATGAGAAGCATTCAAACATGTTTGATTACCCCTTTAGCATCTTGCTCCCCAAATGTCACACAGTGTGGATTACCCATGCTCACGCAAGTGACGAGCCAGGTTTTTCCATCCACAACCAGCGGTTGCTTCACTACTGCGCCGTCGGCATTAACCGGAAGCTTTGTGGGAACCTCGGCACCTTTCAGCGTAGGAGGTCCCATATCCACTGCAACCTGTGGATTGAATCAGTCCCAGCGCATGGAAACTAGACTACATGAAAGCTAGAGTACCTGTCCATCAGGACGAAGCTCGGGAATAATTGTTCCAGCAAGAGTGTGTATCTTGTAGCTGTAAGGTAAGTTCTTGTAAGAACAAAGACGAAAGAAAACCAAAAGACGTGATCAAACCTTCGAGGTTCTAGAGTTCCTTCCAGCCGTGCCACGAAACGAGCCATGCAACGAATCCCATTTCCACACATCTAGAGAGAACCAAGAACACAAGACAATCGCTAAAAAGAGTCAACTCTCATTCACCTCTGGCTCACTGCCGTCGGAGTTGTAGATCCGCATGGAGTAGTCGCAGCCTTGGGTTCCCGGCATAGCAAAGATGACACCATCGCCTCCCACGCCAAAGTTTCGATCGCAGAGCTTGATCGCATCCTCCGGAGAAACTTTTGGAGCCGAGGAATCACGATTGTCGACCTGGAAATCCCAATAAGAACACTCACAACACAACACACACCACGCATACCAGTATGAAATCGTTTCCCAGGCCGTGATACTTGACGAAATCGAGCGTTCGCTGCTGGAGCGACGAAGAAGAGCGCATCGATTCCAAATGCGATCGCTCCTGGACAACAGCGTGCGCCAGAGCCACGGCTTTCAATCTGGATCCACGCTGCGACAAGAACACCCTAGATCCAGAGCTACATCTCCTTCCCAGCGGCGACAATCGCGAAAATCCCTGGCATTGCGCGGCACCAGCATTCTGAGCACAAGCCGCCGCCATGGAGGAAGAGAATGACCTAGAACTAGAAAAATATTTTAAACACAAGACTCTTTCTATTAGAATTTCATCGATCGAGAAGGCTACATAGAAATCCCAATCCCAAAATTTCGCCAGGGTCTCTTCATCTCAGCCTTCTAGCTTCTCTTTCGGACTCGAGCAGCGTGAGGATGTCACCTACACAAGAAATTAGCCCCAAAGATCAATCTTCGATTCGATCGAGAGGATCGAGAGCTTACCTTCGCGGATCGGCCCCTTGACATTGCGCATGATGAGACGATTCTGGTCGTCCAGGAACTTCACCCGGACTTGGGTCACTTGCCCGCGAGATCCCGTCCTGCCGATCACCTTGGTCACAATTGCGAGCTTCACCGGCTGATCCTGTAAGAAACAAGCACGAAATCGTCAAATCCAGCTCTAGCTTTCCCTATCCTCACAGACCATGGCGCGGCGCTTGCTAGTTCCCGGCGGCTCTCAAGAACCCTAAAACTCTTCAGCTAGGGTTTTAAAACTACCGTTCGATTGGAATGGCTTTTAACGGTGGAAAATGGCATATTCTCTCTTCTCTTCTTTCTAGCCCTAGATCGTTATGGCGTTCTCCGCGGCCGCTGGACGAGGCGTCTGGGCGGAGAATGCTGTCGATACGCTCGCCGCGCACTTCGATCGAGCTCACAACTCGCTTCTGGTATGATTTCCAGAGCTACATTTGGATTTCTCGCGAAGTGGCGCTTGATTACAGCTGATTCAATACAGATTGGACGAGGAGCTCAGCCGAATCTACGGGAATGACGATGTAAGCCGCCGATCCCTTGCGCATTGATTCTCAAACCGTGGAAATTCCAGGTAAACCCGATGAAGATCCAAGCGCGCTTGAATAAGCTCCAGGAGGAGCTCCCTGTGTTGGAAGCCGAGTGTAAGAGGCTTCTAGCCGCCAAGCAGGTATGCTAGACATCTCTCAATCCCGCGATCACTGCCAAGCATCTCATGGAATTTCTCTTCACAGGAGTTTATAGAGCAAACGGTTGGCTCACTCCTTCACAACAAAGCCACACTGGAATCTTTGCAAGCCCGGGCTGGCACTGCCACAAACAACGAAGACGTCGACCAGCCGGACGAATCATCGGCCCAATCGCTCGAGAAGGTACTCAAACTTGCCGTGAAAGAAAAATCACTTACAAGTGCTCTTCTCATGATAGATTCTCAAAGAATGGAAAGAACTCAAACCCCTGTGAGCGGATCTACCAGGTAAGAACGATGAACTTCCAGTCAGCTAGCTCTAACTCTCATTTTTTCGTGCCAGATCCTCGGAGATGAGATAAGAAGCTTTCGTTTAAGTTCGTAAAAGCTACCTGTGCTAACTCTTTCACAAGGAAATTACAATTCGACTCCACAACTCTATCTTATCTATCTAGTCTTGAACCTCTTGGCCGGAGGAGCTTTGGGAGAAGCTCTCGTCTTACCAGTCATCTTAGCCTTCCTCCTCCTCCTCTCGTCCTCGCTATCCGACTCGTCTCCCTTCTCCTTGTCCTCCTTGGACGCCTTCGCCTCTAGCTCGTCCCAGCTCATGCCTTCTTCCTCGTCACTGTCCGCCTCCTCCTCCTCATCGTCCTCCGACTCCACCACCGACTCGTCGTCCGAGCCCTCGTCCTCGGACTCGGACGGCTCCTCCAGGTCGCTCGGCTCGTACCCCTTGTCCGACTCCTCCGACTTCTCCGACTCCGAGTCGGACGCCTCCATGTTGAGAAACTCCCACCCGCCGTCGTCAATGAACTTCTTGGGGTCGTCCAGGATCGTCTTGAGAATAGGCCGCCAGTTGAGATTCATCCTACTCTCGTAGTACTTGATCGCCATGGAGTTGAGCCACTCCTTGATGTTGTCCAGGGACGTCGACGGGATGGCGTCGATGCGCAGCACGTCCGTCTTGAAGTCCTTGAAGATGATGGCCATGTCGAAGGCCTTTTGAGCGAAGCCAACTCTCTCCAGGTTGACGAGCTCGATGTCCTCCACCGTCACCACCAGGAACGGGAACTCGATCAGCTCCACCAGGCACTTGACCGTCGGCACAATGAACGCCGATGTCTTGTTCGGCACCCCGTGGAAGCCGAGCTCCCGGAACGGGATATCAAACTCGAGGCCGAAGTTCCTGAGCGCCGGCTGCTCCCACAGGTCCGTCACCTTCTTCACGAACACCTCAAACTCCTTGTTGAGCTTGTTCTTCCGCTCCCTCTCCGCCTGCTCCTCCTCAATCTCGTCCGGATCGAAGTGCGACCGCCTGCTACCACCGACGTTTTGTACGCCGTCCATCACCTCCACGAAGAACTGTACGTCCTTGGCCTTCTTGTTCCCGACCATGATGTGGTTGTGGAGGTGGAAGTGCAACAAGGTGATCATCTCCTTCTCGGCCGGCTGGAAGAATGCGTGCCTGATATTCCTGTAGAGGATGTCCACCGTCTCCTCGGCCTTCATGGTGGAGTACCGGAGCCCGTTGACGTGAGCCTCGAGCGTCCCCCGCCTCCTCTTTCGACCGGCAAACGGTGGCCGTATCCACAGATCCGACAGCCGGATGGCCTTCCCCTTGGAGATCTGGAGCTTCTCCTGGGTGACGAGCGTCGCCCGCTCCGCCTTCTCGGACTCCCTCTGAGAGACTTGCCGCTTCAGCGTCTTCATCATCTGGACGATCTGCGTCGAGTGCTTGATGTCGCTCGTCCGGAAAGAGATCTCCTTGAGATATATCATGTGCGGGAACTTCTGGAAAGGGACGTCGTTCGTAGTGAACCCGGCTCCAGGGACGTTGAAGATGATCCGGATGATGGAGGAGTTGAGGTCCTGGTGATTGTTGATGGTCCTCACAGTCGCGATGTGGAAAGGAACCATGATACCGTAGATTGGAAGCAGCACGGCTTCGTTCTTCTGGTCGACCTGGATCATCAGCTCGCGGCTGAATGGAAGCTCGTCCACGTTTCGGTACGCAGTCATCTCCCCGGACGACTTAACCATGTTGTTGCCTTCTCCATGGCCGAAGGCACCCGCCGCCAGCCTTCTCGCGGTCTCCTCGTTCTTCTTGAGCGCGAGCTCTGCCTGCATCTGCCGCCGCTGGTCCTCCTTGGTCATTTCCTGGTTGTCCGACCGGAGAGCCGTCTTCACGTAAACAGGCTCAGCACCATTCGAAGCCGGCTTCGACCTCGGCCTTTCCTCGGGCTCCTCATCACCGTCTTTGAACGAGTACGCAATGTCCTGGAAGGCTTTCGAGGACAGTGATGTCACCACGTCGGGCCCCTTGTCACGAACAACGACGGTATCAGCGAGAAGAAGTCCGTAAGTCCGCGTCTTCGGATTGGAAGACTTGATCTCCAGATTTTGCAAGCCGATGTTTACGTTAAAAACCATGCCGGCCTTGATCACCTTCTCGTTCCTGGGATTCAAGCTCAGCCCGGATTCCCTGTACTCGATCCCAATGCCTGCTCCAGCTGATCTCGTCAAGAACGACGACAGCTCCGGTGCCTCACGCTCCAAAGTGGTAGCAGCAGCCTTGTACACCGCCGACATCAAGTTCCCAGGCCTCAGAGCGTTTATAGCCGCCTCTTGAGCTTTCAAAAGTGCCTTGTACGCTTTCTCCTGGCTGGTGTCCGCGTCAATGAGATACGTCCTGGCCACATTGGAGCAGTACATGTTGTAGCGACCCCCAAGAGCGCAGATGATCACCGCAGTCGCGTCGTAGTAAAGTGGATCCTCGTTGCTCTGCGCGCTCGCCTTGAGATCGAACACTCCACCACTCTGGAAGATTGGCGGGTAGCAGACGTCGGCACCCTCCGCCTTGAGCTTCATCTTCAGCTTCCCTGGAGGATCCAACATCACATTCTCCGTCTCTTCCATCAGCTCGGCGTGAGTCATGCGCTTCTCCTCGTCGATAACATGCTCCAGCTTCGGCACAACGAACGTCTTCATGGCCGTCGCGCTCAGGTACGCCGCCTTCTTCACGTTGTTGATCTCGCTCTCGTCCTTGACGGCAAACATCTCGCACAAGCCGGCAGCAACGTCCACTTTCTCGAGCCGGGAGGACGAGAGGAGCTCGTCCCACTTCTCCATGAAACTCCCCTCCGTCTTCTCTTTCGCAAGAACCCCCAGGACCGGGGACCGAGACTGCGCCTTCACCGTGTCGAGGATCTCGAGCATCTGGGGGCCACCGTCTTCACTCCTGAGCTTCACGTGAAGAACCACGTCCACGCCGCACGACGTCCTGGCCGGCCGCTGGAGCTCCTCTAGGATCTTCACTTTCTTCTGGCTGCACAAGAAGTGGAGAGCTCCCTGGACGAACACCATGAGGGTGTCTGGAAACTCGTATCCCAGCATCCAGATGTTCAATGCCGACGATTTGAGGTAGCGCAGCTCGGACGCCTCGGCCCTGGGCGGCGTGAAGACCGCCACCGCGTCGGCCCCGCCCCAAAGCTCGTTCTTTTCGTCCGCCCAGCATTTGTAGAAGATGTTGAGCCGCTTCACGAAATCGTCGATGTTGATGTCGTAGCCGCTGTCATTGGCCTTGCTCTTGGCATCGCCGCCATTTCTCGAGTCCGCCATGGCCGCCGCCAAGAAACCCTGCGCTTGCCCTCTTCAGTTAGCTAGGGTAATACGCGAGTGCCGCGAGATCGGCCGCACGGCGCTGGGATAAGCCCGCAAAGAAGGCAAGGATCGATCAGCACGGGGCCATTGCGAGCGCGGAACAAGGGAGCGATTACCTCAGCGCGCTCGCGGTCTCCCCATCGTCCCCTCTCGCTTCTCTTCGGCGCACCAACGAAAGAACCCTAAAGTTTTGGGGCATTTAAATCGCATTAAGTCCAGGGGCGGGAGCTCCGCAACGGACGGCCAGGATGAGGCCGCCCGTCCCTAGCAAAGAACTAGGGTTTTAAACGGCGCCGCTATCATCGAACGACAGGATCGATCTGTAAGTTCTTCGCTCCCGCCTGCGCTGTCTAGAATGTGATTCTCTCGGTTTTGCCACGGACGTGATGAATCGATTAGATGTGTCAAGCGGTTTCCTGGCCGCTAATGAGCTCAACTCTTTCGAGGCATATCCATTCACTCCTGATCCGTCTATCACTTGCATTTCCTTTTCTTGTTGCGAAGAATCGATTTGCTGTGTGTGCTCGATGTATCGAAATCGAAGGTAGAACTTTTCTGTGAATGTGATGAATTGCGAAGAATCGATCTACTGTGTGTGCTCCATGTATCAAAGCTAGAACTTTTCTGTGGCGAAAGTGATGAATCGATTAGATGTGTCAAGCGGCCTATGGCTGTTGATGGACTTAAACCTTTGAGGCATATACATTCATTCCTGATCTGCCAGTAGAGAGTTATGTTTGTGATCGATCAATTGCTTCTTTCTCTTCATGCTCTAGTTCTTGCATCAATTCCTTTCAAGCTCTAAGGAGCATTCTTCTTTCTCTAGGAAAGATAGCGTTTTTTACAAACTTGGGCATAGTCTTTATTGATTGTTCGTTACCATTTTTCTTGTACTTAGATAAATCGATCGAATGCTTTTTCTTTGTCTTCATGCTCTAGTTCTTCTTGCATGAATTCCTTACAAGCTCTTAGGAGCATTCTTTGTCTAGGAAAGATAGCGTTTTACAAGATACTCACCAGTGGTTTTCTTCTTCTTTTCCTAGTCTTATGAATGCAAATGGATTTCCTACAGTACCTCCTCTTTGCCTACTCGCAAGGCTTAACAGACGTTTCCGCTGATATGCTTCTCGGAGACATGGCTCTGGATACACCACTACCATCGATCTTCATGGTGATGTCCGTGGCTCTCTTCGCAGCAGCGTCCACGCCTCAGGTCAGCAGAGAGTGTTGGAAGCTACGACGAGACGGCTTAATGTGGCAGGAAATGAAAAGCTTGGCCGCGTCCAGCGACCACGTAACCAGGGACAGAGAGTGGCTCAAGTTCTACCGCATGAGATTCTCGTCGTTCCAGTACCTCCTAGCGGAGCTCCGGCCCTTCATCGAGAATCCGAGCAGCGACTTTGTCAGGGAACCGGTTGACACAGAGAAAGCAGTAGCCATGGTCATTCATCGACTTGCCTGTGGCACCTCACCGAGAGCTCTCGCGGAGATGTACGATACCGGCGCCTCGACCGTCACAAAGTATACCAAGCTCATCACCAGCATTCTTGCGAGCAGCTCCCAGCTCTACTCCAAGTACGTGGTCATCCCCTCGGGAAACGCTCTCACAAAGGTGATAAGGAAGTTTGCATCGCTCTCGGGCACTCCCAACGTCTGTGGAGCAATAGGTGGATCTCACATCAAGCTCTACAACAAGCCAAAGCCAGCATATACTCCTGCCGACTATCTATCCAGCTATGGCTTCTACAGCGTCCTGCTCCAGGGCGTCTGCGACAGCGACAAGATTTTCTGGGACGTGTGCTGCAACGCTCCGGGTGGACTAGACGATGTAACGCATCTCAGAGCTAGTAGCCTCTGGAGGAGGCTGATCAACCGGGAGGTGCTGGCCCAGCCGACAATGAACTTACAGGGTCGCCCGCTGCAACCATTTATCGTGGCGGACAGGCCATACCCGCTGATGCCGTTTCTTGTGACGCCCTTCCACTACGACCGAGACGACACCGTAAGCGAGAATGTGTTCGACATGCAGCTTTTGAAAGCCAGGGAGTGCATCGCCAACGCTTTCGGCCTCCTCAAGGCTCGGTGGAAGATATTGAGAAACATGAACACGGACCTGAGATACGTAGCGCAGGCGGTCATGGCTTGCTGTGTCCTGCACAACTTCTGCCAACTCGCTGGGGAGCCGGAGCCCGAGACACAGGCTGACGACTATCCAAACAATAAGATGGCAGCTCCTCCACTTACGAACGAGCACGAGGTCGGGTTGCAAAACGAGGCAGTCGAGTACAGGCGAGCGCTCTTTCTCGACTGGCTCCGGAGGCAGCACGAAGAGGCGGAGCTGGAGAAGAGGAGAGCAAGTCAGATGGCGCGTCCCGGTTTTTCATAACAGCTCTTCTACGCGTGACTTGCCTCTTGACTAGCTTCGTAAGTCCTGGTCATGGCGATAGCGGCGATAGACAGCCACTCTGGTAAGCTAAATAACATTGTTTTCTCCTGCAGCTAACAATTGCTTTTTATTTTTTATTTTTTGTTACAGCTAAAGGTCATCACGCAGAGTCTAGAGACTCTCGAGGTCGTTTTGCTCGATCATGGACGCCATGAATCTCTTCGCGGCTGCTGCATTTCTGGTGATCGGGCTGGTTTATTGGTTTGTCAATCGGCAGCGGCCTTCTACTCCTCCGGGACCTTGGAAGCTGCCTGTTGTTGGGAATTTACACCAATTGTTGGGAAAACAGCCTCATCGCGTGATCACCGAGCTCTCCAAGAAGTATGGTCATCTGATGTCCCTCCGGCTGGGATCAGTTCAAGCGGTGGTGGCTTCTTCTTCCCAAACAGCGAAGATCTTCTTGCAAACTCACGACGTGATCTTCTCGTCAAGGCCTGAAGTCGCGAACGCCAAGCTTCTCACTTATGGCTTCTCGGACATCATGTGGGCTCCTTACAGTCAGCAGTGGCGCGAGCTCCGCAAGCTCTCCGTCCTGGAGCTCTTCACTGCCAAGAGACTGGAATCGTTTCAAGGCATCCGCAGAGACGAGACTCTCAACATGATCCATCGTCTGCTGAAGCTGGCTCGAGAGAAGAAAGTGGTAAACTTTCGGGACGCGGCAACAGAGCTCTCATGGAGCATAATTGGGACAATGGTTTCCAACAGGCAGGAGTTCGTCAATCTCGAAGAGGGCCTCAAAGTCAAGTCTTCACTCGACCGAGCACTCCAACTCGCCGGAGCTTTCAACCTTGCCGACTACATACCGTTCTTCCGAGCTTTCGACGTCCAAGGATTTCGCCAACAAAGCCAGATCTTGCACGAGCAGCTGGATTTCTTCTTCCAGGGCCTGGTCGACAGCCACAGGCGACAAGAGCGGCCCCCGAACGCCTCGGAGGACTTCATTGACGTGCTGCTGTCCATCCAGAAACAAAACGGTGTGGAGTACGTGAGCGACGACACGATAAAAGCGACAATCCAGGTTCGTTTTGTCCAGCTCGTTTCCTCGTAAATCGGCTGACCATTTCATTGCAGGATATCTTCGCAGCTGGGACTGATACATCGTCCATGACTCTGGAATGGGCTCTCACCGAGCTGGTACGGCATCCGCGCTCTCTCCAGAAAGCCCAAGACGAGATAAGTTTCATAGTTGGAAACGACCGGATGGTGAGCGAGGCAGACATTCCGAAGCTCCAGTTCCTACAGGCGGTAGTCAAGGAAACTCTTCGCCTCCATCCGCCGGGTCCTCTCCTCCAGCACCAGTCCATGGAGGACTGCAAAGTCGGGCCTTACAGCTTCCCTGCCGGGACCAGAGTGATCATCAACGTCTACGGCATTTCCAGAGATCCAAGCTTGTGGGAGCAGCCTCTGGAGTTCGATCCTTGGAGGTTCCTTGACAAGCCCACGGCCAGCATCGACATGAAAGGCCAGCACTTCGAGTTCATCCCGTTTGGTTCCGGCCGACGAATCTGTCCGGGGCTGGCCATGGGAGTGAGAACTGTGGAGCTCGCACTGGCACAGTCGCTCCACTGCTTCCACTGGCACTCGCCGGACGATCGAGTCCCAGATATCGAGGAAGTCTGTGGGATGACGCTGCCAAAGAAGAACCCATTGCTGCTAGCTCCATCGCCACGACTGGCCGACGCAGTGTATGGCGAGATACAAAGAATGTGATTTCGCTGTATTGATCTCAAAAATATCAAAGCAAAGAATTTGTGTTGTCTACATTCGAAAGTCTAGAACGCAAACAGTGTTGTTTGAGAAGCAAGCAGCGACTCTGTCACCTTCTTTGTTCCAACAGACCTCAAATATGCCGCCGCTGCCTTTGTAAGTCTTGAGCAAGCTCCCGTCCTTGACGGACCATATGTGCAAGCATTTGTCAAAGGAGCCACTGGCAAGGAACTCCCCGTTTGGGCTAAAGGCCACGGAGTACACGGGCTCACTGCACAGACAGCCACAGCCGTTACTTAAAACACGCGAGCGCTGCAAGCGCTTACCTGTGTTGCGTCAAGCTGTAGAGTTGAATCCCTTGTTCAACGTCCCAGAGCCTGATAGTTGCATCGAACGAAGCGCTGGCACAAAAACAAACAAATGAAACGGGAAAAGGAAACTATAACTATTTTACCTCGCTAGCACCAACTGTTGGTTCGGATTACTCGTCCCCGGACCGCTCGGACTCCACTTGATGGTGTATATTTCCTATAACGCTCAAGTCAGGCCGGAGTGTGTCAGAGATGGAAGCTTGCCTTCTTATGCTCCTTCAAGTCATGCACGCATTTTTCATGTTTCATGCTCCAAATCTAGATAAAGAAGAAAGTATGTCATCCAAGTCACACTGATATAACATGGTATTCTCACCTTAGCTGTGTAATCATCCGAGCAAGAAGCAAGGAGGTTCCCGGTTGGATCCCATTTGATAGCATTCACCTCGTCCTGATCACACGCCAGAAGTCATTTAACCATTACTGCTGAAGTTACAAACCTCGTGCCCCGCAAACTTCTTCACCGGTTTGGTTTCCCCTAGCTTGCAAACATAAATCATGTTGTCCGTGGAGCACGTCGCGAACGACATATTGTTCCGCCAATCGACGTCGAGTGTGGGGGCTAAAGCAAGCATGTGGTTTCACGACTAGTGGAAAAGGAAAAAATTGTGGTTTCGAACCTTCATGGTACTCAAACTGCTGTTTGACTTCACCAGTTTTAGCATCCCAAACGATTGCCGTTTTGTCTACACTGCCACTGAGAAGCAAATCGGCCTTTTTGTTCCATTTTAAAGAAAATATCGGTCCTTTGTGTTTGTTTAGCGTGTTTTTCAATTCCCCTGTAAGTGAAGAAAAGTAAATAGTCAATACATGCTTCAAACCCAAAATAACGTACCATCTTTGCTCCAGATCCTAGCTTGACCGTCGTATGATCCGGTTGCCAGCAACGTTCCTTCCGCCTTCACAGACAGGATGAGTCTTTTGGAGTCAGATGAAACGAAGCAGCTTACATTCCAGTCAAGAGTAGTCACGTCCTTGCTCTTTTCATTTGTTTTGCCCCTGAAATGTTTCAAAACAAGTGGCCGAGGTGCCGAGCTCTGAGCATTAACTCCGGAAGGACCATCAGCAATTGTCCATATCCGCGCTGTTGAATCTCCAGAACTGAAGATGTGACAACTAACTTAGTAAAAGACAGGTGAATCCGCCAGCCTTACCCAGATGCTAGGAGAGAACCTGTTGGGTTCCAAGCACAGATGAAAACCTGGAGCGCTGAAAAAGTTTAAAAACAGCGCAAGACTGTAAAAATAAAAAGGAGCAAACCTCCGATCCGTGCCCCTCAAGAATTGTCACTTGAGAAGCTGGAATCTCATTTACTGGATTGGTGGCGGCGACAGTAACATCCATGTCACCTGAAACACCTTGGCTTAGATACTGGGGGAAAATGTTCTCATAGAAAAGGATGACCTTTATAAGGAAACAAAAACGAAACCAACCATAGAAAGACCATACGAGAGAAAGGTTTACCTGAACTGCGAGGCTCTTCGATCTTCACTTTGACGTCGCCACGCTCCTTGTCCCTCTCCCTTTCCTTGTCCCTCTCTTTTTGCTCGCGGTCCCTCTCTCTCTCGGCGCGCTCTCGCTCCCTCTCTTGCTTCTCCCTCTCGCGCTCCCGCTCCTTCTCCCTCTCTTTCTCCCTCTCCTTCTCCCTCTCCTTCTCTATCTTTTCTCTCCGCTCCCTGATGAGCTGCCGCAGCTCCGCCACATCCTTGGTGAGCAGCTCCACCGGCTGGAGCAGGGAGAAATCGCCGTCCAGGTCTGTGTTATCCTGGCGTAGAGGATCAACCGTCAATCAATGCTGTTGAACGAGAGGAACGTCACAAACTTTGACGAGCAAACGCAAACTCTCTGAAAGGATGATCACTCACATCATTGAGATTGGCCTCCAGCTCCAGGTACTGGATCCCCTTCTGGACGAACGAGACCAGAGCACCTGGTGGCACGAGATTCCCGTCAATGCTCATCTTATTCAAGCTGGCTTCATACCCCAGCGTGAACGCCGTGTGCGTGAAACCTGCCAGGGTTCGGTCTCCTTGCGTGTGATCTAGCGCTGGCGGCGCCGGAGGCTTACCTGATTCGTGGAGATAGCGAAAGACGAGATAGTTGAGCTCCACCGAAGTGATGATCGCCATAGCCCCGCCCTGCAAAGCGCCCAAAAATTAGGGCTCCAAACTTTAGGGTTCTTCGCGACGAAGAACCCTAAATCCTGCTCCAGCCAATTCGATGCTCACGCTCAGGGAATTCCGGGCCAGCGACATCGACGACATGATGGAATGGGCGATGGACGACGCGGTCACCGAGTTCCTCGTGTGGGAGACCTACACGTCCAGGGACGCGGCGGTGGAGTTCTTCCACGCATTCATCGTTCCGCACCCATGGTTCCGCGCGATCTGCTGGGCCGACGTCGCGATCGGCTCGCTCTCGCTCACGCCGGGCTCGGGGATCCACGCCTGCCGCGCCGAGCTGGGATACGTTCTCGCGCGCCGCTACTGGGGCCGCGGGATTATGACCGCGGCCGTGAGGGCGGCGGTGGAACAGGGATTCCGGGAGCTCCAATCCATCGCGCGCATCGAGGCGATCGTGTTCCGGGAGAATGCGGCATCGCAGCGGGTGCTGATCAAGGCTGGATTCGCGAGCACGGGGCTGCAGCGCAGCTACGTGATCGTCAAGAACAAGCTCAGGGATTGTTACGTGTTTGAGATGGTCAGGGAGGAATCCTCGTCGCTGGGATCGTCGCTGGGTCACGACATGGAAGAAGAAGGCGAAGCTATCGAGCTAGAGGATCGATAGCATCTAGAATTTGGCTGGAGAGGTGGCGTGGTGGAGTGGTCCAAAAAGGCTTCCTGGGAAAGGGGGGAGAGAGGATTGACCCAAGAGCTTTACTGTTTCCGCGTTACACCAGTCAGCGGCGGCACGGCCGGGAGGAGGATTTTTCCTGCGACTATTGGGGCCATATCAGATCTTCCAGAGCCACTGAGCTGGTGAGCGAGCGATCGAGCGAGCAGCGGCTAAGTCTTCCTAGAGGTATAGATCATTTTCCTCCACTAGTTTAGTTAGCAGCCATAGTGGTAGCTAGATTCGAACGTCTTTCAACCAGATCGCTACTGGGGCTTCGAGGGTCGATCCAGATCGCTCTTGGGCAGCAGCAGGATGTCGCTGGTACGCAGCAAAAAGCCTCCAAATCTCCAGCTCCTGCGAGCTCCGTCCTCCTCAGCTCCAGGGGCACACCGGCTTCCACTCCCTCCAGCAGATGCGACCAGGGGATTGAAGCTCCCGGAGATTGCCAAGGACGAGGTGGGAGGCGGCCAGGTCTCGCTGGAGGATCTCGAGAAGAGGGAGATTCTCGGACAGGGAAGCGGTGGCAAAGTCTACAAGGTGGTGCACGTACGCACCGGCGTCGTCTACGCGCTCAAGACGATCCATCCCAAGACGGACGCGGCCATCACCAAGCAGATCAAGCGCGAGAAGGAGATAAGCATGCGTTCCAAGGCGCCGTATGTGGTGCAGTGCTACGGCGTTTTCGACAAGGGCGGGGAGATCTCGCTGGTGCTCGAGTACATGGACGGCGGGACGCTCGCTCACGTCCTCAAGCGCCACCCCAGGATCGAGGAGCCGTACCTCGCCACCATCACGCAGTACGTGCTCAAGGGGCTGCTCTACTTGCACTCGAACAAGATCGTCCACCGGGACATCAAGCCTTCCAACTTGCTGCTCAACAGCAAAGGCGAGGTGAAGATCGCCGACTTTGGCGTGAGCACGGAGCTGGCCAGCACTTTCGCCGAGTGTAACACCTTCGTGGGGACGTGCGCGTACATGAGCCCCGAGAGATTCAAGCTCCACGAAGCTCGCGGGGGATTCAACTACTCGGCGGACATCTGGAGCCTGGGACTGGTGCTGCTCCAGTGCGCGCTCGGCTACTTTCCATACCTCTCTCACGGCCAGGAGGCGGACTGGATGACGCTTATGTGCAACATCTGCGAGTGGGAGGTGCCAAGTCCCCCCGAAGGAACTTCGCTCGAGTTCCAGGACCTGGTGAAAGCTTGCCTCCAGAAGGAGCCGGCGTGTCGACCGAATGCGTTCCAGCTCCTCCAGCACCCGTTTCTAAAGAAGTACGAGGCTTCGCCTTACAGCCTCCAGCGATATCTCAGGTGATCTGTTTCGGCGATTCTCGGTAAGAAAGACAAACCTTGTGATTGGTTTTTGTGAGAGTCGCACTCACAAACAGTGGTGATTAAGATTTGCTACTTTGTAGAGCAGGCTCATTCATGGTGACAGCTCCCCGCTTCGCGTCTTCCCTGACTGGGTCCGAAAGGAAAGAGCCAAATGAATGACTTTCATCGTAAACGTCATACTCTCAACAGCTCGTTGTCTCGTTGAGAAATTGCAGTCTCCGTGCCGAGCACGGATAGTTTCTGCTTCACTCGAAATCCAGCATCTTCACGTCCAGAGTTTCTCTTTTTCGGTTCCAGGAGAGACCACCCGTCTTACAGGATGGTAAAACCGCGTCACGTTCCGATCATGTTACAAACTGGTGTTTCTTTGCGAACGAGCTCTGCTAATAGAATCCCAGTGTAAGCAAGGGCGATGTAAATTTTGCGTGGCTTCACCATAATGAAATTTATGAGATGCAATGGTCTTAGCATATGTACAACTAGTCCCAAACATGAACTTGGGATAGTGCAAAGCCTGTGGCACTCGCGAGTTTATCCACCATAAGCCGTCTAGACGTTCCGCAATCCAAGTATGTGTAATGCACATACCAGCAAGTGAGCTGCCTTCCCCTGCTTTCTCTGGCAATCACATCCTTCAGGTAACTAGCTTCAGTAGCCAGAGCCTTGCCAAACTGTAGGTGGACATAACATCATTGGCTTTTACAATGTGTATCTTGATAGACTTTTCGTCTCCAGCTCCCTGTGCTTGGAATCCCTTCAAATCAAAACTCTTGAAAAGGATCAAGCATCGGTTCCCCTTCTGCCTGGCTTCTACCAACACTGAGTAGTTGTTACAAGTGTTCTCCAGAACGAACTTCGTGCTGAGCAGCAGAACTTCCAACAGCTATACATACTCAGGAACTTCAACGTGATGCTGGAGACGACTGACATTGATGTAGCTGAAAGCCAACTGCAGCGCCTCAATGAATGACTTGACAGCCGGAAGCGCAACACGAGGAGCCATGCGTGATTCCTTCAACACCACTTGTAGCAGGAGGCCGGAGCTGATGGTCACAGACAGACATGACACACCGGCGGATGATGTCTCTACATAGAAATCCGTGGATGAGTCGACCGCTGCGAAGTTGCGCGGGCGCACGATGCGAATACCTCTTTCATTGCTCCCTCTTCATTGCGAGTTACATTTGTCAGTGCAAAGTTGACGAGGTTTTTCTTTTTTTATTTTCTATCCTCGATTTTATGAGACCATTTCCCACTTGGGTTGCCATTCGCTGAAGCTGCGAGGTATGAAAGCTGGCAAACGCGATCCACACCGTGTTGGATTTCTGCTATTTGGAATTCTTCCATTTTTATTTTTTTTTTCCCACAGCAGCAGTTTTGCTGGAGCTAAAACTCGATGTTTGGTTGGGATAGATCGAACTCTTGGAATAATGAATCAAAGGAAAGAGCTGTTCGAACAACCAGATCCTAAGCTTGAATTTGTATTTTGTGGAGTGTGGAAGAATGAAGAACAGTGGTTTTCGTTCAGCTAACCTGGTCTCCTTCCTTCAAAGTGGGCGGACTAGCAGAAATCTCTTATAAAAATCTCAAGAACAAATCGCTCGATGATCAATCAATCGTATTCTGTGCTTGCCAGCGAGATCTTCTCCGGTCAATGTGGGCAGATAAAAACACGGAAAGTAGGATAGTCTTTTGTACGTTTCACTTCGCACCACGTTAAAAACGAAAAGCTTGGAGCTTTTGATGTGTTTCCCTGTTGTTTGTTGTTTAACCAACCTATCATTGCCAGTGACAACGCCGTCGCGTGTTTGTCAGAGCGTGCGCTGGTTGATCACAAGCCCGACTCAAAACATGGCACGGAGTTTCAATTCAACAATTCCCGCTGACCTCCCAACCAACACTTTCGATGGATTCCATCGAGATCGATCGGAGGGCAACTTAGAAGAATCTTATAGGAGTCGGAAGAGACGCCAATTTACAACACCAGAGAATGCTTTGGTCATTCGAACTCTCTTCATGATAAAATCTTTCCAATTCTCTTCTTCGTGACTGACTGAAGCAATCAAAAAAAATTAGGAAAGAAGAACAAGAGGAAGAATCGTATGATATTCGTCCATTATAATGCGTGCTATGGCTGGCTCTCAAATGTTGAATGTTTGGTTTGTTCCCCTTCGCATCGCTATTCGTACAGTCACTTTCGATCAGACATTTTCTCTGTGCGCTGCTGTAGCTGATTGAAAAATTAAATCTTCCACCATGTAGCTCGCGGCAGAGTTTGAGAGGGATGTGGAACACTGTCATCCACAGACCTGTGATGCCAAAGAGAAGCGTTGCAAACGTTTGATCCACATAGGCGAACCTGAGAGGGATTTTCTCGACTTTGGAGAGCTCTTGGACAACTTATGATATTGAACTATATAAAGAAAGGAACATAAGGATGTTGTTTTTCACTTGCAGGAAAATCTTCACAGCGAGCATGGATTAAAAGTTTTAAAATTTTTAAACAAAAATCCAGCTAGCTGTATGGAAGAACTTGTCAGTTTTGCTTTCTAGACAAGTGGAATGGAAATTCACAAGTTTGAGTTGCAGTTGGACTCTTGCATGTTTTTCCACACCGTGTTGGGGACTTTTGTATCCTTGTGTGGATCACTGTTGGCAAATCGATTAAGTTTGTCATGTTTCCCTTCCCTTTGTGATGCTCAGAAGATTGCCTTTTATTTATTTCATATGATCAAAATAATGATTCACACAACATTTGCCAGTGCCCATCCCGCTCAAACAAGATCGTCCAACATTGCTCGAGCAAGAGAAAAACAGCAACTGCATGCGCTCGCTCAAATATTTCTCTCTTTCCCAGAATGAACATTCTGTGTTCCAATACGCTTAGTAGTGGTATGGAGGTGGTGGAGATTTGTACTTGTACACCGGAGGAGGTGGAGAATACACTGGCGGTGGTGGGGATTTGTACTTGTACACTGGAGGTGGTGGGGAGTAAACCGGAGGTGGCGGAGACTTGTATTTGTACACTGGTGGAGGCGGGCTGTGAACCGGGGGTGGTGGAGATTTGTACTTGTAAACCGGTGGTGGTGGGCTGTGAACCGGGGGTGGCGGAGACTTGTATTTGTAAACTGGTGGTGGTGGGCTGTAAACCGGGGGTGGTGGAGATTTGTACTTGTAAACCGGTGGTGGTGGGCTGTGAACTGGGGGTGGCGGAGACTTGTATTTGTAAACTGGCGGTGGTGGGCTGTAAACCGGTGGAGGTGGAGATTTGTACTTGTACACTGGAGGAGGGGGCGAGTGCACTGGTGGTGGCGGGGATTTGTATTTGTAGACGGGCGGAGGTGGCGAGTACACCGGCGGTGGCGGGGACTTGTATTTGTACACCGGCGGCGGCGGCGAGTAGACGGGCGGGGGCGGGGACTTGTATTTGTACACCGGTGGAGGCGGCGATTTGTAGTAGTATGTCGGCGGTGGCGGGGAAGCGTACTTGTAAACCGGTGGCTCATCGGCGCCCGCGAGAGCGGCCAGTGTCACACCCACAAAGAAGACGACGAGCGTTGGGCTCGGCCCCATCATTGTTTGGATCAATCGACCACCTGCGACTCAATCGCGCAAAGCAATGCGCGATTCCTAGGAGCGCGATGCCCTCAAATCTCTAGAGAGGGAGAGAGAAGAGAATAAGAGAGGGAGATAGTGAGAATGGGGCTCTGGAGAAGGGCTCTTTATACTGCCTGCTTTCGCTCGATAAAAAACCATTTCTTAACGCGACTAGGTCCGAGCTGTTTTTTCTACCTCGATTCACTCTCTGTGAAGAACTGGGCAAAAAGAAAAAATCCAACACGGTGTGGGGTCGTGTTGCCAGCTTTCACACCTCGAAGCTTCAACGAGAATGGCAACCCAAGTGGGAAATGGTCTCATCTCCATATCTGTAGACTTTGGAATTCTTCCACTTTCTTTTTTGGAGCAGCTTTGCTGGATCTCGAACTCGTTGTTTGGTGGTCAGTCCGAGTCGCTTAGCTCGTCGATAGAGTTTAATGACTCGAGCTCTGAAAGGAAAGAGCAGTTCGAACAACCAGATCCTCCTGAAATGCACGAGCTTGACTTTGGAGTTTTGGTTTCATTCTGGACTTGAAACAGTGGTTTTCATTCAGCTAACCTGGTCTCTTTCCTTCAAAGTGAAAGGGAGTGATTCCCCCGGACAAGAATAAATCGATCGATGATCAAAACCGTATTGTTTACTCCAGCGAGATGTTCTCGAGCCAATGTGGGCGGTAAAAGCACGATAAGTACGATAGTCTTTTGTACGTTTTCACTGCGGTATCACTGACTTTGTTACACCACGCTGATTGATCGAGTCTTCTCACATAGAATTTCTGTTTTTTAGCCAACCTACCCTTACTGACAACGTCGTCGCGTGTTTCGTGGCATGTCAGAGCGTGCGCTGGTTGATCGCAAGCCCGGCTTTGATCAAAAACATGGCACGGAGGTTCAATTCAACAATTCCCGCTGGCGAATCCAGACCTCCCAACCAATACTCTCTTGATGGATCTCGAAATTGATCGAGAGGAGAGAGCCCAAATGCTAGACGACAACTTGGAAGAATCATATAGGAGTCGAAGCGACTCCAATTTACAACACCGGGGTCATTCGTATTCTTTTCGTGCCCAAAGTTTTTCCAATGCTCTTCGTCACAAAAATCTTTTACTGAAGCTATCGAAAATTTTAGAAAAGAAGAAGAGTTGTCCATTGTGCTATGGCTGGCTCTCGAATGTTGAATGTTTGGTTTGTATCGATATTCATACAGTCCCTTTCAATCAGACGAATGAGAAGTTTCTTCTCTGCACTACTGTAGCTGATTGAAATTCTGGCAGGATCACGTAGCAGCCTTTGAATCCAGTGCCGGTCATCTTCACCATGTGGCTCGTGGCAGTGGAGTCCAGCTTGAGAGGAATCTGGAAGAACACGACCGGTAATGTCATCCCCAGACCTGTGTACTGGATCCACAGCGTCTAAGAGAAGTGTTGCAAACGTTTGATCCCAAAAGCACATATAGGCGAACCTGAGAGGAATTTTCTCGACTTTGGAGAGCTGCGCGGGCAAACTCGTGTTCTTGGAGCTCAGCACGGCGACGTTGCGGCCTTTCTTGCGGCAGAGGATGCCGAGGAACGAATCGGACGTATGTGGGTGGAGTTCACAAAGTCTGCGAGATAGACAATGGAGTTTCCATCTTTGCCAAGCAATGCACAGCCATAGGCAGCAGCAGTAACACCAATGACATTTTCAAGTCTGAAAAGAAAAGATTAGCTCCTAGCTGTGATAACTCTCAAGAACAGAAGAACTACCACGTTTAATTGAAGAGGCAATCGTCTTGCTTCGTGATAGCCATGGAGCAAGAGCTACGTAGAGAGCCTGTACATGAGCTTCTGTCTGCGAGACACACAAAGTGATTCTAAGCATGGACATAAGAAGCAAGCAGTGAGTTCTAGATACGAGAAAATGTGGTTACCTGGAAGAAATTGGAGGAACAATTGGCGGTCTAAATGGCAGTACATGGAAACCAGCCTTGAGAACGTCCCTACGTAACGAAAAAAGAGTTGTAAACATGCATATGACCACCAGAGCGATTATGCCGTCAAATTAGCAATCTGTTTTACTCTGCTCCACAGTTGCCTAACAACCACGAGAGCAGCAGCCATACAGCAAAAATCCATAAGCAAGATCACGAGAAAAAAGATACGTTCTAAGCTTGGTGCCTTCACCATTGATTCCTAAAGAAGCAAAATGATCAGGAGCTTATAATTGACAGACTATTTAGAACAAGGAAGAACATGATGGAAGCATGATTTAGCTCATCGGAAAAGATATCTGCGAGACGTCTGGAATGGTCATGGAGATTATGCATCCGTTTCACGCATATTAGCTGCAAATCCTATAGGACACAGCAAGCATTCCTACAGAAGAAAAAAAGTAAAGCATTGTAGCACAGTGGAAAAGAAACCTCAAGTGTTCTTAAGCGCTGCTAGAACAAGATTCAAGTCTTCTGTGATGAATTGTGTAGCCACAAATGAGAGCCACTTAGTCCCATTCCAAATTCGATAGCAGCCTGGAAAGGAGTCTGCGGCGGAGCGAACAGCCGGATGCATAGAGAGTTCATGATGATCGTTTCCAGAAAATTGGATGAGCAATCGCATTCTTTCTTTCTCTCTAGTCGATTCTCCGCCTGCTTCCAGGTCTCCGGTGCGATCATGGAAGAAAGACACTCGCATAATTTCTTGATGGATCACGTATTTCTTTCTCCCTTGCATTCTAATCGATGGTGTGAAAGAGCTTCTGGCCCATGTGAGCGAGTGCGCGTCCAAGATCGAGACTGCGAAGCTGTGCGCGATTATTGCTGGCCAAGCTGTCGAGCGCTAAACATACATAAGTTTTTCTTCCGAGGACTCCCAGAAATAACGCGCCCGTCAACGCGCGATTCTGCTTCGCGGCCGCACAATCCAAATCAGTGGTGATAGGAAATTCCGAGCGCTAATTGGATGTCAAGTGCCATCATAGCAAGGAGCATAAGTAAAATTCTAAATTTATTTATGAAAATTAATATATTTTGTCTAGCATCAGCTAAGGGTGAAAGCTACTCTGTGGTTGTCAATCTTCCCGTATGATAGATGTCTTGCAGGGGCCTCAATCTTCGTGACGACCACGGCAGGAATGGATCTTTCTTCTGCAGCTGCTCCTCCACTCAAATTTCTCAAGTTTCAGACAAAAACATCCAGAGCTAGCTGTGTGGTGTTGTCATCTTTGCTTTCGGACTCTGCAAAAGACTGGCGTAATGCCAGAATCATATCCTCGTGTGGATCACTTCCAAGGCTGTTGGTAAATCGATTTCATCTTACCCTTTGAGACACTCAGAAAATTGCTTTTTATTTATTCCATATGATCAAAATAACCCGCTCAGACAAGATCATCGAACATTGGCCGAGCAAGAAAAGCAGCAATTGCATGCGCTCGCTCAAATATTTCCAGATTGCAACGGAAAGATCATTGTTCTTATGCGCTTAGTAGTGGTATGGAGGTGGCGGGGATTTGTACTTGTACACCGGAGGCGGTGGAGAATACACTGGCGGAGGTGGGGATTTGTACTTGTACACTGGAGGTGGTGGGGAGTAAACCGGAGGTGGTGGAGACTTGTATTTGTAAACCGGTGGTGGTGGGCTGTAAACCGGAGGTGGGGGAGATTTGTACTTGTAAACCGGTGGTGGTGGGCTGTAAACCGGAGGTGGGGGAGATTTGTACTTGTAAACCGGTGGTGGTGGGCTGTAAACCGGAGGTGGTGGAGATTTGTACTTGTACACTGGAGGTGGTGGGGAGTAAACCGGAGGTGGCGGAGACTTGTATTTGTAAACTGGTGGAGGTGGGCTGTAAACCGGAGGTGGTGGGGATTTGTACTTGTACACTGGTGGTGGTGGGCTGTAGACCGGTGGTGGTGGAGACTTGTATTTGTACACTGGTGGTGGTGGGCTGTAGACCGGTGGTGGTGGAGACTTGTATTTGTAAACCGGTGGTGGTGGGCTGTAAACCGGTGGAGGTGGAGATTTGTACTTGTACACTGGAGGAGGAGGCGAGTACACGGGCGGTGGTGGGGATTTGTATTTGTAGACGGGCGGAGGTGGCGAGTACACCGGCGGTGGCGGGGATTTGTATTTGTACACCGGCGGCGGCGGCGAGTAGACGGGCGGGGGCGGGGACTTGTATTTGTACACCGGTGGAGGCGGGGATTTGTAGTAGTATGTCGGCGGTGGCGGGGAAGCGTACTTGTAAACCGGCGGCTCATTGGCGCCCGCGAGAGCGGCCAGTGTCACACCCACAAAGAAGACGAGCATTGGGCTCGGCCCCATCATCCTTAGATCCTGCGAGTCTATCCAACTCAATCGCCCAAAGCAATGCTATCTAGATTCCGAGAGCGCAATACCGATTTCCCCTCTCAAATCTCTCTCGCGGAGGAGAGATGGAGAGAGAAGAGAAGAAGGAAGAGAGAAGGGAGAGCTAGTTAGAATGGGAGAATGGGGTCCCGGAAGAGCGCTCTTTATACTGCGCTCGAAGCAGTCCTCGAGAGTTACTGGCTCTGGAGCCGGTTACTAAAACCATTTCTTAAAACGCGACTATGGCGTGTAGAGGTTGACGAGGTTTTTATTTTTTTTCTATCTGTGGAGAACTGCGCAAGTAAAAACAACACGGTGGAAGTGGGGTCGCATTGCCAGCTTTCCCTCGAGAAGTTTCAAGGAGCATGGGAAGCCAAGTGGGAAATGGTCTCATCACATCTCCAAGACAAACTAATCTCTAGACTTTGGAACCCATAAAAAAGAAAAAAGTGAGAGAGCAGCAGTTTTGCTAGAGCTCAAACTCGTTGTTTGGTGGTCAGTCCGAGTCGCGTTTGGCGAGTTGTCGGATTCGAGCGCGGCGACTTGCACCGTTTTCTTGCTCATTTTTTAATTGGTTTCGCCCTCTTTGCTTGTCGATACAGTGTAATGACTCGAGCTCTCGAAAGAATGAATCAAAAGAAAGGGCTGTTCGAACAACTAAATCCTCCTGAAATGCGCGAGCTTGAAAAAAACGCAAAGGGGAGAAACGGTCGCAGCGATTTGTAGGATGTTTTCCATGAGTGGCAAGTTTTGGAGTTGGAGTGAAAAGTTATTCTGGCTTTGATCCCTTCACTGTGGAGTTGTCGGTGTGTGGAAGAATGAAGAACAGTGTTCATTTTAGCTATCCTGGCCTCTTTCCTTCAAAGTGACGTCCAGCAAAGGGAGTGATTCCCGCGGACTAGCAGGAAAACTCATTTAAAAATGTCAAGAATAAATCGATCGATGATCAAAACCGTATTGTTTACTTCATGCCAGCGTGAGCCTCTCGAGTCAATGTGGGCGCCTGTCCGAGGTAAAAACATGATAAGGACGATTATCTTCTGTACGTTTTCACTGCGGAATCACTGACTTTCTTACACCACGCTGATTGATCGTTAAACGAAAAGCTTGGAGCTTTCGATGTATGATTGTTTGCTTCCCTGTTTTCTAGCCAACCTACCATTGCTGACAACGTCGTTCGCTTGTTTCGTGGCATGTCAGAGCGTGCGCTGGTTGATTTACGCCCGACTTTCGATCATCTAACATGGCACGGAGTTTCCGTTCAGCAATTCCCGCTGGCGTATCCAGACCCATCGAGATCGATCGAAAGGAGACACGAGAGCCCAAATGGAGGACAAGTTAGAAAAATGATTTACCAGTCGCGCGGCGGCAATTTACGACGCCAGAGAATGCCTTGGTACATTCCGATTCTCTTCATGTCACCGACAAAATAACTTTGACTGAAATTTAGAGAAAATCGTCCCAAATTTGTCAATGCGTGCTACGGCGCGGGTCTCAAAGGTTGAATGTTTGGTTTGTGCCGCTATCCGTACGGCTCCTTAAAAAAATCTCGAAGCGAGTACGGACGCGAAGTTCAGCGTGACCCGGCCACGTGGCGAGACGGGGCCTTTATGCCACGTGGCTCATTTCGAATGGAGAGATTCTGTGTTCATGGTATTTTTGCTGCCATTACTATTAGGTCAATCCCTTAATTGTGGAACTCATCGTCGTTGATTTGGTCGTCGTTGAATTCTCCGCGATCGGAAGAGCTCCCCAATGCCGGGATCGCCCCTCACGCGCCGCAGGAACCCTCATCGGTCGCAGGCGTGGAGCTTCTCCGGTAAGCGCGCGCGCGCCCACCAGACGACTGTAGTAGCTGTGCCTGTGCGTGGTTTAGCTCCATCTTTCTTTGTGTTAGGGTTTGATCCAGATCGCAGCGCTTCCCCCTCCCCCTCTCGCGGATTTGCCGCTGCGCTGCTGGAGCTGATTGAAATTCTCGCATGCCTGTGCGTAGATCAGGTGTCTGTCAGTCGAGATTTTGGTGTGATTCGTCGCCGAGAGCTGAATGTTGCTCCCTTTGTTTGCTCGTAGGTATGGATTATGGATCTTCTAGGCCGCGATCGCACTTGGTGGCCAAGGTTTTGGTAGCGGCTTCTCTGACCGCCTTGTGCATGTTTATTCTGAGGCAATCGTCGACAAGCACCACAGATCTTGTAAGTTTCACCTTGAATTTTCGCACAGTGTTCTTGCATCCGGCACTGTTTTTTTTTTTTCCTTTCTTTTTCTGGGCGTGTTCTAAGAGAATTTATTGCTTGTTCTGTGGTAGTTTGCCCACCGACAAGAGGGTGTAATGCACGTACTTGTCACTGGAGGTGCAGGGTTTATAGGATCACACGCGACTTTGCGGCTTTTAGCGAATGGACATAGAGTTACGATAGTGGTAAGCTGAAAAACATAGTTTCTTTTTGCTTGAAGATTTTGGGACTCATGTGGAAACCTCCAGGATAATTTGTCACGGGGAAACATGGGTGCTGTTCATGCACTTGAAGAGATTGCTAATCCCGGTATGCTACAATTTATCAATGCGGATCTTGGTGACAGAAAGGCGGTCTGTATCTTTTGTTCTTATTCCATTGTCGCATCGTTTTGGTAAAACTGGAGACTTTGCAGGTTGACGAGATTTTTAAGAAGAATGCCATTGACGCGGTGATGCACTTTGCTGCCGTTGCCTACGTTGGAGAAAGCGTGGCAGAGCCACTGAGGTAGTGTGAGATTCCCAGAGAACTTGTCTATATGTCGTCATGCCTTGTTTGCAGATATTACCACAATATCACGTCAAACACCTTGACTGTTGTAGAAGCAATGACGGCACACAATGTAAAGAAGCTGATTTATTCGAGCACCTGCGCTACCTATGGCGAACCAACAAAGATGCCCATAGTGGAGGACACGGAGCAAGTGCGTTTTGCTTTTTAGTTCATCGATGATGTGCTAAACTCTTACCTTGCTTGTCAGGTGCCGATCAATCCTTACGGCAAAGCGAAAAAGATGGCTGAGGATATAATCAAAGACTATACTAAGGCGTCATCGGACTTGGCCGTCGTCATTCTAAGGTGCTTCCTTTTAGCTCCTAGGCCGAAAAGTTACTCACTTTTCCATGTTTCTGCATTGGCTTTCAGGTATTTTAATGTCATTGGATCAGATCCACTTGGAAGGCTTGGAGAAGCACCTCGGCCCGAGCTCCGCCACATGGGACGCATATCCGGTGCGTGTTTTGATGCGGCTTTGGGACATATTCCCGAGTTGAAGGTAATCAAGCGACTGTTCTGTAAACTTCTCAAACGCTTTGTTTTGTAGGTAATGGGGACCGACTACGACACGAAAGACGGAACTTGCATCAGGGACTACATTCATGTCACGGATCTAGTTGATGCTCACGTCAAGGCTCTGGCGCACGCTTCCGAGGGAACGGTGAAGGTTTACAACGTTGGAACGGGCGTGGGTGAGTCTCAAGCTCCCCTCGATTGCTCTGAGCTGTGGTTTAATGCTGTCCTTGCTTACTCCAGGAGTATCGGTGAAAGAATTCGTGGAAGCCTGCAAGGCCGCGACGGGAGTAAACGTGAGCGTATCTTATTTGGAGCGAAGGCCGGGCGACTATGCCGAAGTTTACAGCAATCCCTCGAAGATATTCCGCGAGCTCGGCTGGAAAGCCAGGTACACGAATTTAACCGAGAGTCTTTCGGTGGCGTGGAAGTGGAAAATGGCCCATCCAAATGGCTATGGCGACGCGAGATCCAACAGCTAAATCACAGGTCAAGTACACACTGAAAAAATCGCTATTTTTTGGAGGCTCCAATGTCTTGTTCTTGTACATAACCAAATGTTAAACGGTACGTCGGATGTCCCCGATCCAACGGCGGAGCACTGCACTGCAAGATCAACGGTCGGGGATAGAGTAATCGGATATTTTTCCTCTCACCATGATGGCCGTTAGATGAAGGATCCAACGGCGCCCGTCTCTGATGCTGGTTCGTCCGATGGCGTCAATCGCACGATGAGTGTCATTCCGTCGACGGGCTGGACGGGCAGTGACGTGCGGACCCCAAATTTTCGTCACATTAGGTTTTATGTTCTCTCCTAGTTCCTCAGCTAGGGAGTGTGGTGTTCATCGGGATCTGGAACGCCGCTTGCCCGCGCCAGTGATCCGCGCATCGATCGCCCACGCCCGGCCACGCCGATTCTTCCGGGAGCTCCGCGCGCGACGATTACGCTGCGCCGGGAGCTGGAGATTTCGGAGCTGGATTGTAGAGGGGGTAACGAAGCGTCGGGAATGCGCCGGCGTGGGGAGCTGGGGAGGCGGGGATGAATGGAAATATGCCGCTGGCGCGCCAGTGATTCTCGTGGTACGTTATCGCAATGCTGCTTTCTAGCGTGGCGCTCCATGCGTAGCTTAGGTTCTAGGCACAGGGGCTGGATAGAGTGAGATTTGGGGAAAGGCGAGCAGCGCCCGGTGGAATCCCATGGCTTAGTCTGGCAAATCGTGCATTGTGGAGTCTGGAGCTAAATTCCAGGGTCGGCAGCCATGGGCGGCTTTTTAGTCTTCTCTATAGCGTGGGATGCTAGAAGTTCTTCTTGAGGCCACCGTGGTGGTGTATGGAGAATTATTCCACCCAGATGGAAGCTCGGCAGCAGGGTGGAGGATCCTTCTCGACGTATAACCTGGACGCTGGAAGCCTGGTGGACGACGATTTCCTGTTCCTGGATCACAACCTTCCTTCCATCGACAGCATTGCGTCCGACTTCTCGGCGTTCCTCGACTCCGCCGGGCCAAACGGCTCCTTGCTTCCGGCCGACGAGTGGTCGGGCACTACGAACACTTTGCCGGACACGCCCAGCTCGCATCAGCAGCAGCTCCAGCATGGTCTAGAGGGATCTTCTCCGCTCCAAAGTCAGTTGCAAGGGCCTGTGATCCAAGCCAAGCAGCAGCAGCAGCCTCTCCAGCAGCATCAGCAGCAGCAGCCACCACAGCAATTTGTTTTCGAGAGCCATGCACCACCACCCTCGCAACCAAGCGCTCCGGATGTTTTGAGCGGCCAACATGGCGTCGATCAGATGGATAGCCTGAGACAGCCGCAATCTCAGGCAAGGCCCGGTGCGTTGCAGCTCGAGAACCAAGCGAGGCACGCCAACTTTCCAAGCCGGCAGGTGTTGCTGAACTGCTCGACACCCCAGCAGTCGCTTCCACCAACGCCATCAGCAGCATCAGCAGGAGCTGGAAACACGGCACGGGAGATGGTGGTAGAGGGTGCTGGTTTTCAGGGGGTGCAATCGGAAACAAGTGGCATGGAGTCCAACTTTAGCGGCCAGAGAAATTTCGAAAGTCTTCAAGGTCGACAGCTTCCGGGAAACATGCCAGGTTTTCAAGGACAGATGGAAGGGTCTCAAGCCGGGCTGAGGCTGTCGTTTCCCAGGGGCTTGATGGCAAACGGCCATTTTGGCATGACTGGGAGCACCCCGCAATTGCCGATCCAGGGGCAGCAAGCAGCTATGAATCACCTACCAGGCGCGGACGCAGATGGAAACGGTGTGGCACTTCAATCGCAGCTCATTAACAATCAAACCAACTTCTCGGGCCAGTTTATGTCTAAAGTAAACAACCGACAGTCAATCATTCCTGGACACGCCTTGAGCAACATCCCTTCGTTCCAGCTACAGGTAAGTTTTCGCTCGGGCGACTGGTGGCTGAACAGTGTCTCTGGTTTTGTTGCAGCCGTCGTCTCATCAACTTCAGCTGCAGGGACAAACGAAACTGCATCCTCAACTTATGAATCAGCAAGTCATAAATCAAGGGCTACTGCAACCGCGGCAAATCCAGCTTGGATCCCAGCCATCGGTGTTCTCGTCTCCGCAGCAGCAGTCTTCATACCAGCTGCTCCAATCGCAGGGCTATCAAATGCATCCAAATGCGGGAAACCACTTGCCAATTGGTCGCCAAATGTTTCCACAGATGCAGCCGAGGTTACAAAGTCCGCTGATACAGGGCTTACGCTACGGTGGTGCTCTTGGCTCGCGACAGCTTGGTCCACAAATAGTTGGCCCACAGATTGGTACAGGAGTCCCCGAGATGGGAACACGGTACCCTCCATCAGGAACAAACGCAGCCAAGTGCGCGCAAGTGTTTATGCTTTACATACAGGAGCAAAGAAAGCGGCCACAGGTAACGATTCCCAACATTTTCCATTTGTTCTCTTTTCATTCTATCCAACTCACAGGACAACAACATCAACTTTTGGAGGGCATTTGTACACAAGTACTTCGCTCCAGGGGCGACTAAACGTTGGTGCTTGACCAGCTACAGCACTACACCTGTTGGTAGACATGCTCAAGGGCTTTTTCCTATGGTATGTGGGAAAAAATTCGCATATCACATTTCAATTGTGTGCTTCTTTTTCAGGACTATTGGTACTGTAATTTATGTGGAATTCAACCAGGAAGAGGATTTGGTATGTACTTCCTGGTTGGCTGCGAAATCTAACCTTCCATCTTCTTGCAGAATCTGGTACAGACGTTCTACCAAGACTTTTCAAAATCAAATACGACAGTGGTTTACTCGATGAGCTTTTGTTCCTGGACGTTGCCACAGAGTAAGTCGCCCTCTTCTAACGATAGCCCCTAATTCTTACTTTCCTCTGAAAGAAAATATTCTGTACCATCCGGAAAAGTTGTTCTGGAGTATGCCAGAGCCGTTCATGAGTCGGTGTTTCTCGAACTTCGGGTAACTGAACTGGATGAAATGTAGTGGTGCTAAGTTTCCTTGTTCAGGTAATTCGTCATGGCAAGCTGCGTATAACTTTCAACAGTCAGTTTAAGGTACTGTTTTAACATGCATGCATGAGGGAACTTTTAGCTGACACTTTTATTTATGGCCAGATTTGCTCATGGGAGTTCTGTACTAAGGCGCACGAAGAAGTAGTGCCGCGGAAGAATTTGCTTCAACAGGTACCTCGTTTTTTCCAGTCTAGTCTCGCTTTAAAATACTCTCTTGTTTTGTAGGTGCACCAGCTGGCGAGCCTTGTCATAGAATCCGACCAGGAGAACTTTGACAAGAGCGCAGAGAACTTAAAATCTCATTGCAATGCGTACGTTGCCAGATCTTTGAAATCACTTTTTTTTTCCCCCACTTTCCCGTTCTGCAGCTTTACAAAAGCGGCAAAGCAGCTGGCTGTTCAACTTGACGCGCCAATGGTGAACGACCTTGGGTTCTCGAAACGTTATGTAAGATGCTTGCAGGTATGTGGTGGAACAAAATGGTATTGTTAAGTAGATTGTCGTGCGTTGTATGAACAGATCGCAGAAGTTGTCAACAGCATGAAGGACCTGATATCGTTTGAGAGGAAAACCGGCCTGGGCCCAGTCGGTAAGTCGCTCATGCTTTGACTTCCATATGCTCATGCAAAAACAAAATTTCCAGAGAGCTTGAAGCGTTTCCCAACTGTCAAAAAGCTCCAGATGGAAGGCGGCCTCGCCGGCTTGCCTCCATCCTTAAGCCTGACTCAGATGATCACCGAGCTCACCCAAGGTACAACGTCTCTACAGTCCTCCACGGTCACGCGGCTCCAGTCGGAATCAATGTCCGAGGCGCAGGACCAAGGCGATGGTAACCAACAAGCCCACTCATCCTCCGTTTTCAAGGGAATGGAAGCAGCAGCAGCAGCAGCAGCAGGGCCGGCAGTGAATCAGCAGCGGAGTTCCATGGAGTCGCGCTTGCAGCACCTCCTCCAGTCGTCATCGGAGGCTTTCAACCAGATCCAACCATCTCAAGCGGCGCAGTCCATAGGCTCCCAGCTAGCGTCTCCATCTCAGGCTCCAGCAGTGGTAGCACAGGCTCCAGGCAAGCAGCAGCAGCAGCAGCAGCAGCAGGCGGTGGCGAGCAACCAGATTGGTGGCGGAGCGGCGCAGCAACAGCAGAACTTCCAGCCGGTTGTTTTGAAGTCGGGTGCCGCAAAGTCTTCGCTGTCTCAGCCGCATCAGTCGAGCTTGCCGGGAACGCCTCAAAGCGAGATGAGCGACATGAGGTCCAACACTTGACGGATGGATGGAGAGAAGGGCTGATTATATACTGACGAAAAAGAGAAGATTGGGCAGCCAGCGAGCAAGCAAGCAAGGTGTACATAGTGTGCTTGAAAAGAAACGATCTCTCTCGGCTGGGACTGCGGGATGGACCCCCATGATCTCGCTCTCTCTCTCCAAAGAGAGGAGGAGAAATGCAAAGTGACGAAGAAGAGGGGATTCTTGCGGGAGTCCGGTTGAGGTTGAGGTGTGACTAGGACGACGACGTAGTAAGTTTCCAGTCCCCACGAGAAGAAAAAAAGGTTTGGAGAATGGAATGGGTTTTACAAAGCTGTTGTTGTGAAAAGTTTAGAACAACAAACACACAATCTTTTATACAAGGACGTAAGATTTTTTCCTTTTGCTTTAGGAAGTTTCTTTTACAAAAAGGAATGAAATATTATATACTGGATAGTAAGCCGCAAAGAGGTCAAGGAAATAATGACACATTAAAACTAACGCAAGCGTTTTGTTAATTTAAAGACTATTAACAATGGCCAACTATTTAAGCATATCTTAGGTATATCCACGAAACTGTGATCGCATCTCCACCGCCCGTCTACATCATCCCAGCCGTCGAAGCTAGGTCCAAACTTAGCACGGGAGTCTATTTTTAGTATCTAGCTCTTACAAAAGCACAGTGCATCGTCTAGGGTTTTCTCGTGAGGAAGAGGGGCGGCGCTCCGACGCCCTAGATAGGGCCAGGGTTTTGTAAGCCCGGGGGCCCTATCGCTCAGCTGCGGGAGCGATCCATTTGTTGTGCGTCACCGGGATTGAAGGCTTTGGCATAGGGAGATGTCACAGTACTGTGGTACAGAGAAGCACATCGCACTGGAGGTGATTTGTTTCATTACCTGCGGCTCCATGTACTTCTCCGTGCCACAGTACTGGAAACGAAAAAGGTACGATCGTATTGCTTTTCTTTTTTTTCCAGGTATTGGAGACTGGCAGCCAAGATTTGGTGATAGCTTCTCGCAAGGGGAGGCTTTCACAAAGCCTTATGCCTTGTGTCTATGCAAACGCAAACAAAACTTTGGGGTGTTTTTGTTTTGTGTGCTATGTAATTTTTTATCAGCTATGAAGATTTAGCACAAGGAACTATGGCTTTGCCCTGCTTGCCCTGTTGTTGTGCGAGTTGTTTAGAGTCGATGATTGCTTGGTCCACAAGCTTGCGCTACTTTGGTTGAGATACCAAGCTTGTCTGAGATGTGGCGATAGTCTCCGCTTCCACATCTCGGCGCCGTACGCGTAGTAATCTCTCCTTGTAACTCATCTTCTCTCCTTGTAACTCATCTACGTGCTCTGACGCCCTCCAGTGGTTCGGTTCTGTGAATGATTTCTTCGATTGATTCGCAGGCCCGTGTCTTGGTAGAAACGGTGTGTATCGATGTGAATGGCGTCCCTTCTGCTCTGACGAGCTGGTGTCGCATTGCTGGTGCCTGGATTCGCATGTCCAGGTAGTGGTTCTCGTCTTGTTTGATGACTACGGCCCCCAGATCACGTAGATGACTATGCCTCCATTTCTCGTCCCATGGATGTTGCTTCCCAGTTACACGCTGTGTTGAGGTCAGGGATCCGTCTCTGCTGGTCTTCCCAGCTAGTGCGATGATGTCGAAATGCCCTTATTCAGCTAAACCCAGTCCGCAGCCGCCGATGATCATCACCATCACCATCACCATCTCCACCATCACCGTCACCGTCACTGCAATGTGTCCGAGTGCTGTTGCTTGTGCTGTCTGTTTCCTTTGCATTTTGTTGTTGTGGCGTTATAGGCAGTATCTTGTAAAGATCTTTGGGCTAGGTATCTTAAAGATTATGGCGAATTTTAAGTCCTGTAGGTAGTGCTCTCGGTGTGGTTCCCGCTGCTGCATGGCGATTTTTCTGGGCTCCGTGACCAATCATTGCTGAGCGTTTGCGGTCGAGTGTATGCGTGGTATGCCGTGGACACTGGTGTGTTGCCCGCCTCCGCTTCTTGTTGCTGGCCTGATGTAAGATGCATCATTCATCGCCACCGTCATGAATCTAAGCTGGTCTGTCCTTTTGCCCTTTGCTGTTGTCTTTCGGTGGCGGCTGTTTCACGACTGCGGGTGTAACTTGTTGATTGTCTAGGATCAGACGCGGTGCCTTGTTTGTTGCTCGTTTTTGCTCAGCTTCCTCGGCAACGTCAGTGTGAAGCTTGACGAGTGCATCCTCTAAAATCTTCTACTCCTCATTCATAGCTGTTCGCGCCCTCTAGCTGCCAGGTGTTTGGAAAGCTAGTCTTGAGGCTCATTGCTGTCCGTGTCTGTTTGTTTCTGTTGTTGTATGGAGGTGTTTTCGGGTGGTGGTGGCGTGCTCTCTTTGGTTGCCGGTGCTGCCTCAATGTTCCAGAAGCGCCGAAATCCTTGGTGACGTTCAGGAATGTTGACTTACTGGGGCGCGTACGTGTGTTGTCCCATGGTGATCCTCGCTGAGTTCTTTTGTCGACTGGAACCTCCACGGTGACCACTCCTGATTTCACGTTGGTGAAGATGATGCGTCCCAGTGTCCGGAGGGCCTCCTTCGTGGTCTCTCTCTCGGCGGGTTCGCGGAGAACGGCCCAGAGAGGAAAACCAGCCAGGTGATGCTGGCGATAGTGAAACATGCCTTCGCCCCAGATAGCCCCGTTGTGGTGTTTGAAGGTAACCAGGAATTCGCTGTTGATCGCCGTGCTGTGAATTCAGAACTTCGCGATCTGGTGCCTCTCATCTTCCTCTAGGTTGAAGCGTGGGTGGTCAAGTCACACACTGCATCAGGTCTCCATAGAACACAATGAACGAGCTCATGAGTCCAATCTCTGGTCCCGTAGTTTTAGGGTCAGCACTGGGTCTTGGGATCCAACAGTGGGGATCTTGGGCTCGATGTTGGTGTTGGCCAGTGTCGTGGCGGTGTTGTGCTATGCATCAGCTGGCTGCTGTTTGGATAGTAGTTTCTCGTGTTGCTACCGGCAATGGCGTTTTCTTTGCTTTGAATATTCTAGAATATTCAAGGACATAATAGGTATATCCGCTAAATTGTGATTGCATCTCCACCGTCCGTCTAGCTCGAGGATCTATTTTTAGTATTTAGCTCTTTGAGAGAGTAGGTTTTCATGCTCCAGAATTGGTCCATTTGAGGGTCATTGTACATCACCATCTCTTCCTTGAGATGCACAAGGAAGACTTTGGTATCACAGTACTGTGGTCCAGAGAAGCACATCGCACTGGAGGTGATTTTCATCACCTGCGGCGCCATGTACTTCGCTGTTCCACAGTACTGGAAACGAAAAAGGTACGATCGTATTGCTTTTCTTTTTTCTTCCCAGGTATTTGAGCCAAGATTTGGATGATGCGCCGTGGAGATGGCTGAAAAAATTATGTACTTTTTGTAGGATTCCCAAATTCTAGCTCCCGCTTGATCGAGCGCTTGCCTAGGCTCAAATGTTCAGCTATGAAGATCTAGCACAGGCCAGGGCTTGCGAAATTTTGATCCAAGCCACAATTCAGCAAATTTAAACAATAGACTCAGTTTAGCTAGTTATCGCTTTTCCAAATTGGAAGCACACAGGTCCAAGATCTTCTTAGCTGCTTCATTGTCCTGTTTCTTCGCTTTGCTGGCATGGGTCCGATTCTGGCGGTGGCATGCTCTCTTTGGTTGCCGGTGCTGCCTCGATGTTCCAGAAGCGCCAATTAAAGGTGAAATCCTTGGTGACGTTCAGGCGCTCTGGAATGTTGAGCTTCGCTGAGTTCTTTGTCGGCTGTCTTCTCGCCATATTCTTGGGAGGTATGCCAGGTGACGCTGGCGATAGTGAAACATTGTGGTGTTTAAAGGTAACCAGGAATTGACAAGAGCCCCTGCCATATGGGAGTGCGTTGATCGCTAGTCCGTGTTGTGAATTGACCTGACCACCCACGCTTCAACCGAATCCCTGGTTTGGCCGAGAGGGACCAGATCGCGAAGTTCTGAATTCACAGCATGGCGAGTCTCTGGCCGGTGGTAGATTGGGTCGTAGTGCTCAGCGCGATCCATCGACGTTCTCGGGCTCCTGGTCTCCGAGCGCATGCCTACTCAAGCGTGGTTGTCCTTTGACCATGTCGCTGGGCGGTGGTGCTGTGGCATGCATGGGTGCCGGGTGGAGTCCATTCTGTTGCGGCGTGTAATGCCCATGTTGACGAGCGCACTGTGGTTGGCATTGTGATTGGCGTGGAGCTGTGCATGCCTTCTGAGTGGTCGTCTCTGTCATACCTCTCAGCCCTGGGTCTTCCAGCACTGGGGATCTTGGGCTCGATGTTGGTGTCGTGGCTGCGCCAGTACTGCTGCGTTGGCGTGCTTGTGAACTTTGCTGCCGACAATGCTTTTGCTCGAGGACGCGTTCGTCACTGGAGGCGTTATTGGTTGAGTTACGATCCCTGCGTGGTGGCTGCCGTGACCGGGAGCACAACAACACAAGGTGCACGTCCAGACTTGGGTGTAGTGAACATTGTAGAGGAGGAAATTTATGACTCAATTCTGGGCCTTATTATGTGTTGGGAAAGATAAATGCCTCACATGCATGAAAGTCAAATGACATGTGACATTGTTGATCTTAATTAAAAGGTTCAATTGTGCTCCACTATAATGGTCAGTTGCGGAAAGTATATTGATAACTTTGGTAGAGCCACATTAGCTCCGGAAGAAACTCCATTGGAGGATCCAATCCCATCAGAACCTATTAAGGCGGACCAAGAAATAATGGACGAAGAAATCTCAACACCAACTCCAACATCAACTGCTGCTTCAAGTAAATGATCTTTGAAAAAAATTAATATCTTTTTAAAATTTGCCTCTTCCTCTGGCTGGGTGTGATGGGTGGGTGGAGCTAGGCTTCAACCTCTGGGACCTTCATTTCTTGAGCTTGGGCTGAAACACTCTGTGAATGTGGAAAAACTTAGAGCTCGGGCATGCCGTCCACATTGGTGGTTTTGTTTTTTGGAGCCCCCTCGAATATACGAGAATATTAGGTATATCCGTTAAATTGTGATCACATCTCCACCGTCCGTCTACATCATCCCAGATATCGAAGCTAGGTCCAAACTTAGCTCGAGGGTCTATTTTTAGTATCTAGCTCTCACAAAAGCGCAGTGCATCGCCTAGGGTTTTCTCCAGGGAGTAGGTTTTCATTTGGGGGTTCGATCGGCCCTATCTATTGCTCACTTGCGGGATGATGGGCAAGGATGGGCGAGGATCCATTTGAGGGTCATTGTCACATCCACAAGGAAGACTTTGGCATAGGGAGATGTCACAGTACGTCACAGTACTGTGGTCCAGAGAAGCACATCGCACTGGAGGTGATTTTCATCACCTGCGGCTCCATGTACTTCTCTGTTCCACAGTACTGGAATCGAAAAAGGTACGATCGTGTTGCTTTTTTTTTTTTTTTTTTCCAGGTATTGGAGGGAGAGGCAGCCAAGATTTGCGTTAAGAAACTTCTCATCCGTGGAGATGAGCTATCCAAGTTGTCCAGGTTGTGTCACATTTGGATTTCGATTCCCAAATTCCAGCTCCAGCTGGATCGAGCTTTTGCCCAGGCTCAAATTTATGAAGACCAAACTTAACAGACTTGGATCGCTGGATCAAATTTCGGGCGCCTTTGGGCAAGCAGGCGAGGCAATCATCTCGCCATCACTAAGTACAATTCATGTATCTATATAAAATACATTTAAACCAGAATAATGTAACATTTATAATAATCTTAGTATACGAATGCTTCCACTAAAACGGAATGCTTACACTTGACCCGCACTAAAACGGGTGAGATCTGCCTCTTGCTTGCATCTCCGCGATTTCGCTCCCCTGGGTTAATTCCATCCCCTTCCATAGACAGTTTATGCCCTCCAAAACTTACGGAGCCAATCTTTAAACAAGTCAAAAAAGATTTCAGGAGAAAAAAGAACTTTCTTTCGAGCGTTACACAGGAATTGTACCTCTTTTCTCTCCGGATCTTGAGCCGTCAATCTCCATGGCCGTTGCACGCATGCACACGTCAAAAATCCACGAAAAAGGCCATGAACAGCTTGTAACAAAAGGTGGCGGGGCTACATGTGAGCGTCAGCTTGCTTGCTGGGCAGTGGTAATAGCAAGACGCGAAACGCGGCAGCAGATCGGTTCCTGTGCTTGCTGGTGGGGTGGCGTTTATAAGAGTTGGCAAGCAAAAACAAAGTCATAGATCTCTCGATCTCGCAAAAGAAGGTTGGCCGGATCCATACATCATCAATTTATCATGTCGTCGACGAGTCCCAGTTATCTGATGATCCTGCTGCTTCTCACCGCTACTCTTGTCTCTGGTGATGAGTTCTCAGATCCGCCAGCTTCTTCTTTTTTGCATTCCCCTCGAAACAGTAGAAAGCTTTCGCCATTGTTGCTAGGCTTGATGAGAGGCCCAGGAGGAGCAGTGGGATCGAGTGTGGAGTGCTCCGAGGGTGAATCGGGTGGAACCTTTTGCCGGGCTCAGGCATTGTTCGCGGCAAGCGGATCGAGTGCGTCGTGTTGCAATCGGCGGTGTGTGGACGTTGGTGTGGATCTGTTCCACTGCGGCATTTGCAACCGGCGGTGCCAAGACGGGGAGTCGTGCTGCAGGGGATTTTGCGTAGATCTCAACACCAACAGGAAGAACTGTGGCGAGTGCGGTTTCAAGTGTCCCAGAGACGTGCAGTGCCAGCTTGGGATCTGTGGCTATGCCGGATGATCAAGGAAGAACATCTCTACTCGTTTTGCATCATTCTTTAGTTCTTGATTGTGAGATCCTTCATCGATTTTATTCATTTTCTTCATTGTCTAAGTTTGTTACCACGAGAAGAGGAAAATTCATGTATTTGCTTTGATTCATTCATTCATTTATCCAAGAGCCAAGTGTTTATCTTCCGGGTCTTGAAAGTTAATAGTTTGTGTCGTCAATCTAGCCTGAGAACAAGACCACCACCACCTTCCGCCTTGCTGATCAACCCTCCTCCTCCTCCTCCCTCTTGCGATCCGCCTTGCGAGCTCTTCCGGCTTCCAGACGGCTGCTGCGACGCCGAGTTTCCACCGCCGCCCCCCTGCTGAGGCTGCTGAGCCCGAGGAGGGGGCGATTTCGGGCGGAGGGCCTCTATCTCGTTCGTGGTCCCCAAGAGATGCGGAGCTTCTGGCTGAGGATTGCCTCGTCCTCCCTGCCAGACATTGCCTTCCGAGTCTGCAAAGTATCTTGTATACGTCTGAAACATCGCAAACAAACAAACTTTGTCGTAGAGAAAGAGCTTCCAGACTTACCTGGCTGCTGAAGTTGGAGGACGTGAGACTCTTCCCGATGGTTACCCAGCCAGCACGGATGTTATGGTCTTCGCCGAATAGCTCCAGCCGCCGCCGGCCCAGCGCAAAATGCTCTATGATGTGGTAGAGCTCTTCTGGTTTAGCGACGGATCCTACAGACAAGCAGCCATTAGCTTGAGAGAGTTTTGAAGTTGAGAGACAACTCACCGAACGGAGGCTCCTCCGAGATAATCACGTCGGTGTCAACGTTGGCATGAATAATATGTCCATCACTGCTTCTTCTCACGGTTCCTTTTATACCCATCAAGCAGTGTTCCTGACAAACCGAAGCGTGGGTTAGGCCACTAATAGCAAGCTCCGAGTGTCACGTACCTTTGAGTGCTGGAACAAGGTGTTGGAATCGTGTCTTAGTGGCGGAGATGGATTTTGTTTGTTCGTCTTTACCCAGCAGATATCTTCACACCTTCTGAATCCCCACTATGGAATCCGTTAACGAGAAGAAAAAACGCATTTTGTTTCACGTACCTTCTTCAAGCACTGCCGACCTTGATCGAGCCCTTCCGCATCTCCCACCCATAGAAAAATAAACGAGGGTGTATCAGCGATAGCCTGCGATCCACTGCCGTGAAAATCAAGCTCAAGAAGAACAAAGACAGAGAATGAGAAAGAAGAAAGAGCTCGTACCTCGATTCGAAGGTTGAGAATCTCCTCAAACGTCCACCACTCGAGGGAATCCTCCACGCCGGGAGCTCGTCTCACATACTCCTCCCAGGGAGGATCCACCAGGATGACATCAAACTTGGTGCCGAAAAGCTCTGGACCCAAAGCCTGCGTCTTCAAGTCACACTGCAAGTACATTGGCGGCGTTGCGCGCTCGGCGATGAGCGAATCCTTCCTCGTGACGAGCTCCTTGAGCTTGGGATACTCCTCGAACCGGTCAGCCAGATCCACGTCCCGGATGAAATTGTGAGGCCGCAATCCAGTGTCGACAAAGTGCTGCGAGTAATCGTTCTGCTCGCCCCGCGACGGAGCTCGACCCAGGCCTCCTCTCCCTGGAACAATCCCCGCCGGGAACATCCCAGCGCCACAGCCCCAGCCCATGGACGCCGCGAAATGCGAGGAATACGCGGCCCCTGGCGGGGGAAGCACACCTGATCGATCGAGCCAGAAAATCTCATGGAATCAGAGGGAATCAAGCGATTGCTACCTGTTCCTCGCCCCCTGCTCGTGGATCCCGCGCGCTGTGGCTGCATTGCTCCCGCTCCTTCTTGCTAGAGCCCTAAACCCTAGTAGAGGAGATGCCATTGTCAAGCATATTCACGCCCACACGCCAATCCAGGGGAAAGAGAAATGTTTGTGGCGCATTGGACGGTCGTACAGACGTGGCAAAGCGAATCTTCAGTGGACTGGACACATTCGTCCACTTGGCAAGATTGAGACCGTGGATCACTCCATGTGGACGGGCCGATTTACTGGCCGCCATAGCTAAGAAGCCCTTGATTGACCCTTCTCTCCCCTTTTGGTTGTCTCAAAGAGTGGCGCAATGGTGAAGTCTGTGGGGAAGAAATCCAGGGTGAGGCGGCCGTGCTCCAGGAAGCGACCCAAGGATTCTAGTTAGATTTCGCGTTCGCGGCGCTCGATTCCTCTTCTTCTCCTCGATTTTGGGGGAAATTTTTCTAGCTATGGGCACTCCCAGCGGCATCCAGACCCGCGTGGGGAAGTATGAGCTGGGGAAAACGGTCGGCGAGGGTACGTTCGCCAAGGTCCGGCGGGCGACGAATCTGGAGACTGGCGAGCAAGTCGCGATTAAAATTCTCGACAAGGAGAAGGTCATGAGGCACAAAATGGTCGAACAGGTTCGTGTTTGTGACTAGTTCTCCTCGATTTTGGATACAATTCTCGTGATCTCGCAGCTCAAGCGGGAGATTTCAACCATGAAGCTAGTGAAGCATCCAAATATCGTCCAGCTCCATGAGGTATACTGGCATTTTTTTGCTGTAACTTCCCTCGAACTTACACGCGAGTCTGTGTCACCAGGTTCTAGCCAGCAAGACTAAAGTTTACATCGTTCTAGAGTATGTCACCGGGGGAGAACTCTTTAACAAGATTGTGAGTGTTCTTCTTCGCTAGTTTTTCGCCCCCTTCGTTCTCTATCTAATGCCAAGCTCCCAGGTGAAACAAGTCCGAATGAAAGAAGAAGATGCGAGGAGGTATTTCCAGCAGCTCATCAATGCCGTGGACTATTGTCACAGCCGGGGTGTGTATCATCGCGACTTAAAGGTGCCATGATAGCATACTTTTCTTTGTCCCGAGATTTCTCTCTGACTTGGATTCCAGCCGGAGAATTTGCTGTTGGATACGAATGGAAACTTGAAAATCTCTGATTTTGGGTTGAGTGCGCTTCCACAGCACCTTCGGGTATGAATTTTTTTCTCTTTCTTTTGGTATATTTTTGTGAGTGGATTTGCGTGGTCTTGGTTTGCAGCCCGACGGCCTACTTCATACTACTTGTGGCACTCCAAACTACGTTGCCCCTGAAGTAAGTCTCCTTTCTTAGTTCGATCATTCGTCACACTCTCTTCTACCAGGTTATAAACAACAAGGGGTACGATGGGGCCACTGCGGACTTGTGGTCGTGTGGTGTTATTCTTTATGTACTGATGGCTGGCTTTTTACCCTTCGACGAGTCCAACTTGATGAATTTGTACAAAAAGGTATGAATTTTTTAGTGACAGCACGTTGAAAATGTTTTTTGCGCGGTCCAGATTTTTCGTGCGGATTTCAAGTACCCAAAGTGGTTCAGCAGTGGAGCAAAAAACTTGATATCTAGAATTCTCCATCCAAATCCAAAATCCGTAAGTTAATCTACCTGTCCTTTTCCTTTATCTGAATGCATCGGGTGGTTTGCAGCGTATCAAGATTCCTGAAATTCTCGAAAACGAGTGGTTCAAGACGGACTACAAGCCAGCAAAATTTCTCGAGGAAGATGCTGCTCATCTGAAAGATATCGAAGACGTTTTCAATGAGGTACACGGCCACTTTGTTTTCCTTGTCGGGATTCTCGTGCTCAATCGCGACTAATGTTTTGCAGGAGCATCTCGTCAAAGAAGAGAAGAGAGAGCTGAAAAGGCAGGAGTCAAAGCCAGTGCTAATGAACGCTTTCGAGCTGCTGTCGATGTCGTCGGGCCTCGATCTGTCGGGTCTTTTTGAGAAACAAAAGGTACACGCTTAATCGTCATATGGTTTTTATCTCACGCAACGTTACAGGAGCCTGTCAAGCGGGAGTCTCGATTTGCTTCCGTCTGCCCAGCGAATCAGATAATATCAAAGATTGAAGAGGCTGCGCGACCTCTCGGGTTTGATGTTCGCAAACAAGACTACAAGGTGAGACCAAATCTCTAGCATTCCTGTGATAACATCAGAGTGGACAGATGAAGCTGCTTGGATCGAAGTCTGGAAGGAAGGGGCAGCTCTCAGTAGCGACGGAGGTAAGAACACGAGAACCTAATCAGTCGCTCAGCCAAAGATGAAACTTTGATTGCTCAGGTGTTTGAAGTGGCACCCTCGCTTTTCATGGTTGAGATGAGGAAAGCGGGAGGAGACACACTAGAATACACAGCGGTAATGATGCTAGAAGTGGTGTTTCTTCATTGGAACTCACATTGTATTGCTCGTTTGGTCAGTTCCACAAGGATTTGTACGTCGGGTTGGAAGATATTGTTTGGAAGAACGAGCTGGAAGTGGAAAGAGGAGAAAGATAAAACTAGGACGCGAACGGTCACGATTTCCCATCCTATATTCAACGAGGAAGAAAAACAATCACTCACCTGGAAGATCGAGAGCTGGCGGCGCGCCATCTCTTCCCCGAGCACACCGAAAGAGAAGAGAATCGTCGCTTTGACATTGTTTCGATTCATACAAGACCGAAATTTAAGTGTAAATTTTAAATGTGTGAATATTTAACCTAAATAATAATAATTTAAAACTTATAGCCCTAAATTATAAACCGGACGAAACGATATATATAAAATACTAAATTTCAAAATTATTAATGCAATTGTAGGTATGTTATTTCCCATTCACATCATTGTTCGAAAATCAGGAAAGGGCACCGGGGGTGCAGATCAAGCTGCAGATCGTTTCGATCGTTTTGAAGCCGGGACAGGGGACAAGCTCCTGGCCTTCGAAGGAACTTCATGGCATCGTGAGATTCATCATGGAGATGGGCAAGCAAGTAGAACACGAGTGAGAGACTTGGCAACAACACCCCAAACTACATCATAGGGGACGAATACACTTGCGAAGTCGTCAAGAAGATCGAGTTCCTGGACTTCGTTGCAAAACTAGACCACAGACCGCACTCTTCAGCTCACGATCACGAAATGGCCAACGACACCCCCAGAATGCGACGATACAACCACACCCCCACCCGTCTACTGGATCAAATGCGAGGATACAGATAATAACACGGGATGGGCACGCCAACCCACATGGGAGGCTATACAACATCGCAAACTATGTCAGACGAAGGGACTACCAATCAGGAAATGGTGGAACCAGCTGCGCAGAACTCCATAAAGCATCTGACAATTCCAGAAGGTGGCATGATCCACACCAAGCGTCCAACAAGAAGAGTGCCAGTCCTCATTGACAAAGTAGAGATCTGGATCCAACGAACTCAGGAATTTGCCATGCGACATAGACACAAATTCAATACCGCCTGCCACGGTGAAGGGCTCCAGATGTGTACGGCTACTCGTCCAGATGCTGAACACGCAATGGGATGAGGAAGTTGTCACCTTTTGTTCTTAACGTGTGCATGCGTGCAACGGCCATGGAAGTTGACGGCTCAAGATCCAAAGGAAAAAGAGGTGAACTCACTAACGCAAAACACGTATGTGCCTGCATGCCCTTTGCCCGCACACTAAGTAAGCATGTGGTGTAGGACATATATCCCCTGCCCGAGATTCCAAAAGGCCGCTGAATAGCACAGAGCATGTCTACATCGAAAGAAAACTTTCCTCAAATCTTTTATGACTCTTGACTTAGAGAGACCTGATTTGTTTAAATTTGAAGTCTAGCGTTTAAATTTTTCGTTGAAATGAATTGTGGCTTGGATCAAAATTTCGCGAGCCCTTGGGCAAGCAGATGGCCTGTGCTAGATCTTGGGCAAGCGCTCGATCAAGAATTTGGGAATCCTACAAGAAAGTTTTTAGCCATTCCCAGAACAATAACGACCTTAGAAGACATCTCCACGGATGAGAAGTTTCTTACCATGCCAGTCCCTGCAATACCTGGACAAAATGAAAAAGCAATACGTACCTATTTCGTTTCCAGTACTGTGGAACAGCGAAGTACATGGAGCCGCAGGTGATGGAAGAAATCACCTCCAGTGCGATGTGCTTCTCTGTACCACAGTACTGTGATGCCAAACTCTTCCTTGTGCATCTCAAGGAAGAGACTCAAATGGATCCTCGCCCATCGTCGCAATAGATATGGCGGATCGAAGCCCTAATTCTCTCTGGAGAGAACCCTAGGCAATGCGCTGTTGCTTTAGTAAGAGCTAAATACTAAAAATAGACCCTCGGGCTAAGTTTGGACCTAGCTTCGACGGCTGGGATGATGTAGACGGACGGTGGAGATGCGATCGCAATTTAGTGGATATATGCTCAAATATTCTAGTATATTCGAGGAGTTACCAACAGTCTGGACGAAAATAGGCGGCAAGGCACGCTCAAACTGTAAGTTTTGCCACATTCCGGAGTGTCCGCTATGGTGTTTCAGCTCAAGAAATGAAGGTCCCACCCCTCGCAGCAGTCTTCCTCAACATGCCCAAAGCACCGCACCCACAGCCGCAACAATCCACCAATGACCAATCCCTCGCCAAGCGCACCTCAAGCGGGAGAGATCAGCGTCAAACAGAGACGAGGAGTCACGGCAGCCATCACGCGGGGATCGTCACTCAACCGATAACTCCTCCAGCGATCGTCGTCACCGTGTCATTCAACTGGGATCTCAACCAAGGAACACGTCCTCAACGAAAAAAAACGCCATTGCCGGCAGCAACGGTCACACGAGAAACTACTATTCAAACATACATGGCAATGAGCAGCCGGCTGATGCATAGCACAACACCGCCACGACACTGGCCAACACCAACATCGAGCCCAAGACCCAGTGCTGACCCACCTAAAACTACGGGCGAGGACCAGAGACGACCACTCAAGCATCACAATGTCAACCGCCAGCGCGCCCGTCAACATGGCCATTACGCCATAAAAGATTGGACTCCACGGCGCAGCACCACCGCCCAGTGACATGGCTAGAGGAAAACATAAGGGGAGAACAGCCGCATGCGCTCGGAGACCAGGAGCCCCAGAACGTCGAGGGATCACTGAACACTACGACCCGATCTACCACCAACCAAGGACTATTGCAGAATGAGAGGAGCCCCTCCCATACAGAAATCACTTCCTGCGTGGTTACAACTTTACTAAGGCCTGATGGAGTGTGTGAATTGACCACCCACGCTTCAACGGAGAGGAAGTGAACCCCTGGTTTGGCCGTTACATGTACGAGAGGGACCAGATCGCGAAGTTCTGCACGGAGATCAACAGCGAATTCCTGGTTACCTTCAAACACCACAACGGGCTATCTGGGGCGAAGGCACTATCGCCAGCGTCACCTGGTAGAAGACGGCTGGTTTCCCTCTCTGGGCCGTTCTCCGCGAACCCGGTGGACTCCAGGCCGAGAGAGAGACCACGAAGGAGGCCCTCCGGACACTGGGACGCGTCATCTTCACCAACGTGAAATCAGGAACAAAAGAACTCAGCGAGGATCACCATGGGACAACACACGTATGCGCCGCAGTACGTCAACATTCCAGAGCGCCTGAACGTCACCAAGGATTTCGGCGCTTCTGGAACATTTGAGGCAGAACAATGTTCCAGCACCGGCAACCAAAGAGAGCACGCCACCACCACCGGGCATAGAAAACACCTCCATACAACAACAGAAACTTCCACGGACAGGAATGAGCCTCAAGACTAGATTTCCAAATACCTGGCAGCTCGAGGGGACGGCAGTCAGTGCGAGAACACCTATGAATGAGGACTAGAAGATTTTAGAGGATCAAACTCCACACTGATGCTGCTGAGGAAGCTGAGCAAAACGAGCAACAAACAAGGCCGCGTCTGATCCTAGACAATCAACAAGTTACACCCGCAGTCGTGAAACAACCGCCACTGAAAGACAACAGCAAAGGGCAAAAGGACAACCAGAAACGCAAGGAAATGTCCAAAAAGGTGATCAAGCCAATCTACCCGATCGGCGGCCCAACCCCGACCAACTTAGATCCGTGATCAGCACAGCCGTGGCGATGAATGATGCATCTTACATCAGGCCAGCAACAAGATGCGGAGGCACCAGTGTCATGGCACACCACGCATACACTCAACCACACATCATGACGAAGTAACGCTCCAACATGCTCAGCAATGATTGTTCACGCTCCAAGCCCGAGTGCGAGCCCAGAAAAGTCGTCATGCAGTAGCAGCACTGGCTGCAGGGAACCAGAACTAAGACATCAAGAGCACTCAGGATTTAAAATCCGCCATAATCTTTACAACTCAAAGATCTTTACAAGGTACTCTACTGATTTTGGACTGCCCTAACGCCACAACAACAGCACAAGCGGGCACATTGCAGTGACGATGATGGTGATGGAGGTGGTGATGGTGATGACATCAGCGGCTTCTCACACGACTGCAGACTGGGTTTAGCGGAATACAGGCATTTCGACATTGCACTAGCTGAAACATGGCCCTGACCTTCCAAGCTTCAACACACACAGCACATCCATGGGACGAGAAAATGGAGGCATAGTCATCTACCTGATCTGGGGGCTGTAGTCATCAAACAAGATGAGGTGAACCAGATAATATAAAGAATTGTTATTAGTATAATTCTTTTTTGAGAATTTTTTATATTAAATAATTTTACACCATCTTAAATTTTTGCATTTTTTCCACTGAGCAAGGAGCCTCTTAAATAAACTATGTAGTGTAAGATGGGGAAAATAGAATAACACTAAGTCATTCACTTTGTACTCTACAAATGGACGGTGATAAGAGTTATAGTGTTATTGTTATCCCACTTCTATACAGCTTATGTGTTCAACAAACTTTGTTTGGACAAGCGGAAAAATACTCATCAAATATTAATCCCAAAACCTAGCATCGGCATCTCGTGTCAATCGCAAAGGTAAACCCAACTCCATTGGTAATATTAGATTATGACCATATACAAGTTTATATGGTGAAGCATTAATATAACTTTACATCTTTGTGACATATATATATATATATATATATATATATATATATATATTAAAGAGACGGCAAATAATTATTATAATTTGAATGTTGAAAGTTCATATATTTCACAATCATCCCTTTGAATGTTCGAACAAGTTGTCCACCAAACTCTCTGACTGTGGATGATAAACACCCATGAAAGTGTGGCATATACCCAACCAAGACATCAAAATATAAAATACCTCAACCATAAATGTGAGACTATTATTTGAAAGAATTCGCTCTAGACAAGAATGTTGGAACACCATTCGATTAAGAAGGAAGTATCCAATAGCAGTTGCAAATACGCTAGCAAGAACACTAACTTCCACTTAGCAAGTCAAATAATCAAAAGTAATAATAATATACTCATTGCCATTGGTTGACATTGGAAAAGGTCCCATAAGATCAAACGCCACCAATTCAAACGGACAGAGAATTGCAATTGACTCCAACCATTCTTCCACAACACAAGGGGAAGTATTACAAGCTTGGCACCAAACACAACTACGCACATATTGGATAATATCACGTCACATCTTTAGCCAATAGAAAGACCTGCACAACTTCTCGGTCACTGAACAATGTCTTATATGCTCACCGAGCAGTATGACCAACCAAGTTCTTGTGCATCAAT